TCTACTACTTTGCTGTCACTCGGTATCGAGTATGACGATCATCCAGCTATGATACAATGATATGAGTTATTAAGTTTGTCACCTACTGTAGGTTGGCGAGTTTTGAGGTGACTAATGAGGCCGATACGAGACCCGCAGGGTCGTCCACATTCGTTGCACGTGTGGAGGGCTGCATCTAGTGCGGGAGGGGTGGTGGCAGCGTCTTTCCGGTGTTGGCGCTTATCTGTTTCGGTTTGTAGTCGGGCTAATTCGAATGTATTGACAAACCGGTAACCAAGCCACCATCTGCTTGAGTGCTACCTAACAATTCTAGAATTCATTACTTCACCATGGGCTATTTGTTCATAATTTATGTAATACAACTTCTATAACCCCATAACAGTTGTTCTTCTGGACAGCTTATAACTGCACCTTTCATGAGCATCTGTGTATACATTATCTTTCTCATAATTTTTCTTACTAACTGGGGAGTTTAGCCAAAATGACAATGTTTTGGTCAATCTTTCTCATTCTAATGTACAGTATTGTATTCCCCCAAAAAATTATCATTACACATGGTGTCAATTGTAGTTTGTGGTTTTGTGAACAGTATTAGTCCTGTAGTTTTGGAACAATTTGTACAGTTAACCACAGGTATTGGTATACTACAGCATTATCTATTATGTGGATCAAATTACTTGGTAATAATTTTGTACAGAGAACTGACAGAATTACAAAATTGTCAGTAATTTAAGTATGATTCCTGCATATATTTTATAAATACAGTACTGTACATGTATTATGCATATTTTAATACTGTCAAGTGTTGAGAGCAAGTATACCAACAAAGATGATGAATTGGAAAATATATCAAAGAATTTTGTCCAGCATTTCAAATTGTAAAGACAAAAAATAAAGATACTTTTTGAAGGGATTGTACACAGTAGGCACAGTATCCGGAGGCTCAAAATCCTCACTATACAGTAATAGGATAATTGAAGTTTTCTTTCATTGTTAAATTTTGCTGACTGATGCTAGAAATTTTAAACCCAGAACATATCATTTCTATCATTGGTTAGTACTTTCAATTTCTGCAGAATTTTGACAGGCACGTCTTAGGGTGGTGGGTGAGAGCACTACAATTTTTTCCCCTAATAGCTCATGAAGTTTTAATAGAAGAATGCAAGTTACTATTGGATAAATTACTAAAATAAGAATACAACAACAGCCTTCTGAAAAATACTCTAATAAATTATCTACCCAATACCTAACTATATACCTGTATGTACAATCAAAGACAAAAGTCGTGTCACGGTTATGTCCGAAGATTAAACATAACTCGTGAAACATTATAAGAGCCTCCTACCACAAGGCACAGCGCATCAAAAGTTTAGCCCTTCGGCATACGTTTTCACCAAATTTCACGACACGACTTTTGTCTTTCATTGTACACAATAAAACTCGAGATGACATAGCAACAGATACAGGATATATTCGAAAGTAACTAAAATAACTTCCCTGGTTGATAGGTAACACGAGGAGGTTAGTACAAAGGTGGAGTTGGGTAATGGGGGACGTTAGTGCTAAATATCAGAAAGCACATACAGCATTCATGTTTGTACATAAGTAGATATATAAAATTAGATTTTTTTTATTTGAATTTATAATTTATTTTTGCTTGTATATACAATTAATTAGATTTAGAGTATTACCACGCCTATGTAATATATACTGTATCCTACTTTAATCATGCATTTATGACACTGATTTTGACTCCTGACGTACTGACTTTTTTACTATGCCAATTTTGACCATTCTTTTATCCTCACTCTCTTCATTTTCATTTCATCTTTTCCTACCTTCTCCCTTACAGTCGTACACTTTATACCTGGTGGAACGTAGATAGCCCCGATTGCCACAGAAACCCAGTTGAAGGTGGCAGCTGTGGCTTGAAGAAATCTGTCATCTCTGTCTTCTGCCAAGGAAGTGTGGATATGTTCTATTTTAACTCTTTTTGCATGTGTGTGTGTCCATGCTTACATGTGCACAGCAGTCTCTCTCTCTCTCTCTCTCTCTCTCTCTCTCTCTCTCTCACACACACTCTAATGTGGGTAAAATGTGAAACACAACTACTTTGTCCATTTCAGGATTTAAATACTTCAGAGAGTGGTAGGAAAGGGAGCTACTTATTATACAACAATTGGCTAATCATTTGAACCTGGCCTTAATACATGGTGATCTCGATGATACGAGTAGATACGTTCCTTGGAGTCTGCTCGTAGAGCGAAAATTCGTATAACGGAGGAGTAATAGGGGTACGTTCCCGAGCACCAACAACACCGACGTATTATTTTTTCTAACCAGGATAGAAGTACATATGCACAACCAGGGCCGTCCCTAGGAGGGTGCGGGGCCCCAGAAAATATATATATGGAGTCAGATTATGCAGTCAGAGGAACCCACCCCCACCAACCCCCATGGGACTGTCGCTATGGATGGTAAAGTCAACGTTGCGATGGTGGCGTAAGCCGTCAGGTCAGATTAACCAGTCACAGGCAATGTGTCCGAGGTCACTGGGTCTAGTGCTGCCCACACGCGCGGGGCCCTGGGCAGTTGCCCCTGTTCGCCCCCAGGGGCATCGCCCCCCCTAAAGGACGGGCCTGTGCACAACCATAGAAAGATAATACTGTATATAATTACGTATTTAACTGGAGTGGTGGTTGAACTTGTTGAATGCTTAGGAGGCATGACTGTAGCACTAAACTAGGTTTGGGATGCCTTTAAAACAATAAGCAAGTTCCAAAGTATGGCAGCATAATGCTTTGGCTACACAGTAGTAGCGATTACAGTAAATAAATGCAATTCAGTACGAGCGGACAAACTCGGATAACACATTCAAACACTGCAAGAAGGGAGAGGGTGGCTGGGGAGAGGACGGTTGGGATGTAGGAGAGGGGTGAGCGGCCTGGCTGAGTGGCTCAAAAACACGTCTCTGCGCATTTACGTCACGAGAGACGTCACAAACCACATCACTGCTTGTTCCGCCTACTCGGCTGGGTAAACTGCCATGCACGCTTCTCGTATCATCGAACAATATCGCTCGTATAGATAATATAAGGTGCATATTCATTAACCTCGTATCATCGAATTGTCAGATAATTAATGAATGCTCGTATAATGAGATCACCTTGTACAAGGAAGTGAACCTAAATTCAACCAGTGTGTAGCAACAGCAAGAAGGGTTTAGCAAATGAGGTGTCATCATTCGGACACATAGTAAATGTTAATCACAATTACATACAATACACAGTAGAATAATTGCAAAAGGAAACACAACAATGTGTTAAATATGATATAAAACCACTTGCAGGATTTGAACACACATTTCATAGAGGAAGGTGAGGGCACAACCATTCATGAGCTATAAGGGGTACAGTTGGTAGTGCCCTCACCCTCCACCCTGAGATGAGCCTGTCATAATTCTGCAAGGAGGAAAATGGTATTATTTCACCTATTATAGTTACTCATACTGCAGGCAATTTTTGTTCCTGATATGACTTTAACCCTTTAGTGGGCAGGGGCTCCCCTCAGCTAAATAAAATTGTCTGGCATTAGCCAGAATAAAATACCTAAGGGATACTTTGCCCTCTAAAGGGTTAAAATAATTCTGAAAGTAACTGTGCACAGAATTGAATACAGTACATTTATAAAGATAAAATTACTTGCCAGTTTGTTATTAACGAATGAACATTTCAGAACAATGCATTGTGCTTCAAATACGATGTCATTTGAATGCGATTTCTTAATTCCATTATAAAATTTGTGGTCAATGATTGACATAATACAGTAATAAGAATACCCTGTACCACATACATATAATTCATTTGTGCATCAGCTCCTCCTCAATTTCCAACTATACAGGGTAAATCAGGATCTAAAAAATCTGACATACAGGCTCTTTAATGCATGGTGAAAGCTACCCAGACAGGAATCAGTCTCCCAAATCAAAGCATTCAACAGCTACAGAGCTACCCAACCCCCTTGGTTGGATCCTATTCGACTGCAACTTAGCTGCAGCATTACAGTCATTTCTGATACTGCCACTCACTTTATTGTTAAGTGTGCAAGGGTTAATATACATTGAAGGAACCCAGTCGAACACTCCAACCAGGAAGTGAACTTAGAACACTCCACTCATAAGATTAAGGTGAAAGTAGGTATCACAAACCTGGCGGCCCATTAGGGCAGTGTTGATGAAGTGCACTCTATTAAACCTGTGATATGCATGGAGAGTATTGGCCAATACTGCAGTCATCACCCTTCACTTGCCCAACAATAAAGTTAGGTACTGTATCCATTTACAGCTAGGTGGATTGGGGGTGATGCCTTATGTGTGAACCATAGGCCCTTATAACAGGAGATGAGCACTATATCCACTTGGCTACCATACTCATAATATTAAGGGCAAATTATGAAAATATAAATATACTGTATATACTTAGCATAATGTTTATATCCTTGTCTGATTTCAGCAACTCATTACTAACCAAGAATGGAAAAGGGAAGAATGAGGTGAAGGATGCACTGGAAATGGACATCCAGGAAGTACCAGTGAGCATGGCACTACGGGATCTTTTGGGTGGAGTGATGCTGGATTGCGTGAAGCAACAGGGATGAACTAGATTTGGGGTGAAGTACCATAGTAAAACATATTTTTTTCAGCAATGGGAGTGAGATTTGCACACTGACAATACTGTATAGAGATCAGAGGCAAATACATATAAAAATATATATTACCAGATGAATAAATGTCAGACCAGTAAGAAGCACATAGAAAGATCAGTTAAAAGTGAAATAAATTGTTTGTAAGATAGTTTGTTACATGTCCCATGAAGAAATAATTGAAGTAGATTCTAAATGAAACACCTTCAGGACGACAAAATATATCGACTGGATCATTGACTCTCTCATAATATCTCTTCTGCAGAGGATTTTTTTTTTACTTAAGAAAAATTCATTTGTCACTTTTTAAATAAAGTTTACTTATTAGCAAGAGGTACAGCTGATGTGATGACAGCACTGGGAACCACAGCAGACTTGGTTGATGGCTGGACAGTTGAGGAACAGATAAGCAGCAAATCCTCTGCAGGTTAAGGCAGCTTCACAAAGATGCCCAAGAAGCATAAATTTATAGGAAAGGCTACAAAATACTGACAAGATATGTACCTCCTTTGAAAGGAAGGGCATATTAATCTAATGAAAAAATCAAAATCCTTTAAGAATGACATAAGATAATGTACAGGCTAATTTTTAGTACATAAGAAGATATTTATGCCACAGGTGTTTTGAATATTTTATTGCCCTACAGATTCCTGAACATGCATATCTCACTTAGGCAAATGACTTGCACAACTCAGGAATCTTACACAAGAGTAATAATAACCTGCTGGGTTAGGGTGTACCTGATGGGCAACACACACACGCACACCAGGCTGGACGAAGCTGTTATTTATTTCAGTAACAGCGTGCTGCATACTGTATTTCATAATGGCTACCATCAAGCACCAAAATCATATTTTATATCTTATTAATTGTGAGCTCTCAGCTAGTTGAATCTTGTATGCAATCTTCTATAACAAATGACCAATTGATTATAATCCATAAATATGATCACAAAGTAGCTTAATAAAATTTCTGAGGCAAAGTAAAATATATAAATAAAAGAAAAAAGGATGCAATAAAATCTGGCACCCTGAGAACTTTGTGGGATATTATTATTATTGTTATTATTACACTAGGATCCATTTTTTTTTTTAAAAACCCACTAGGCTCAAATCATGATAATTCATATTGTTTAATACCTAATTTATGCATTATTTATACTCACTTCATGGTTGATATATGTACGAAAATAATTACGAGTACAAATAACACAAGGCCACATGTCAGAGTTGGGATAATTAACACTTGCATGAGGCGTTTCCTACAGAATGAAGATCTTTGGAGAGGAGCAAAATACATTCCACATCAATCGTTAATATTACTCAAAGATGGGTTATATTAATGTTTGATTACGAATGCCCATCTTCTAATTCTTTAAATCTTTCATTTAACAAACACTTTTGGACCAGTTATTTAATAGACATTCATGCTATGACATGAAATTTATTTACATATATACTATTGTAGTGTAATATAATTAAAAAAAAATTGTCTTGTCCATAATAATGTTAAGCCAAAATATAAACTTCCTCATCATCTTTATTTAAATAGAAGTCAACAAATGAAACTTTATATTAAATAAAGATGAAACTAAGATTGTTTGCCATTGATATCAAATCAAATTACAACCATATTCAAATGCTTTGATTTCCAGGTCAAGTAACTTTCTTTAGTATAACAACACATAAATACAAACTTTTTTATCCAGATACTCTACAGATAAGACATGATGAAATCTGAACAGTGTTGGCCTTATTCATATAAATTCAGAAAAAGCTTAACAGTCACAAAGCAATATTACCAACCATTACTAGTGTGAAAAAGTGCCTAGCAGTAGCCTGGCAAATGGGATAGTCACAGTGGACTAGTGAAAATGTGAATTGGCTTCTCTCTTGCAGGAATGCAAATGTATAATATAATGTTTATTTAAAGTGTATCTACTGCAAATTCATGTACTGTACAGTACAGTATACAGTATATTCGTGAACATTACAGTAACTTCTTTTTCATTTAGTTTTTGGGTACGTTTTACATTTTGCAAGCAAGATTACAAACTTGCTGAATTTATGCAACTGTGATTACAGCAAAAGCTGCTGAGGATTATTGGTCTTTATGAAATTTGCTCATCCTCAATACTTTTGAGCATTGTCAATACTGAGGATGAAAAAATTATGCAACTGTTACTCTCTTTCAATAAAATATCAGATTTCATAATTTATCATCACACAGCCACCATGTACCACTTGACTTCAGACATGGCTTGCAAGAGAGGAAAAAACTCTTCTTGTAGATTTAAGCTAAACAAAATTAACTGGTATGAGCAAGACTACCACAGAAAGATAGGTATCATTGCTTTATGAATATCATTAAGCTGGAATTTGTTTACCCTATTTCCCACTACTGTGGGTTGGCAATTCTCCTACAGTGAAAAATGTTATCTTGGTCTGGAGTGTAAAATGAGAGTGATGAGCTGTGTACCGATCAGTGTAACATCTCACCACCCTCTCTAATTCAACCTGAGTCTCATGCATTGAGTGCATAGATACACTTAGGTCTGTTATGCTGACAGAGTATTATGGCACTGTCAAGTAAGACCCCCCTGGACTAGGTTCAACTACAGTATATTGTCTGGGAGAATGCCACTGAATGATAGTGGAAGACAGTGTAAAATATATTTGGTAAAGCTTTAGAGATGTATTACTTTGTATGGTGCTTCTACTCTTGAATACTGGGCTTAATATCCACTAATTTTGAGCAATTAGTTCATGAGAGTTCTGCCACTGATTCTTTAAATGCATAAATGTCAATCAATGAAAGTCTAATTTACAGTAAACCATCATTATTTATCACTATTTTTTTTTCAAATATTAGAGTATAAACCATTACTGAAAATGGATGGCAAAAGGGGGTATCTAACAGTATAGTGAGGTATTGTACTATTGCTTCACTGAATCAAGGATAAGTGAGACACATTACATGATTAACAAGTCAAATTTCTTAAAATAGCTTTTTCATTGGGCTTACTAACTGGAGCATATTAGTAAATAGCACTCAGTCATGCAATAAGGCCAACAAAAATAATGGAGTCGTGTCATGATTATGATTAAAAATATATGGATTACAGGAAACATGACTTCATTTCTTATATCTCAAATTCAAGAAATTTCTGGATATTTTCTTCTCCATCTAAAAAGTTGCTGTCAGTATCATCTGTATTAGACAATTAAATGAATCCTCAAGCCTTTATACTTTCAATAAATGCAAAACTCTAAGAATAGTTGTTATTATTATAAAAATAAAAATGTCAGATACTGTAATAATATATTAGATATATTGGCTGACTGTGTTACTGCACTAGAAATTTACTGAAACTAAGAATATGTAAAAAAAAAAATAATAATAATTACTGTACGCATAGTCGTAATATCCATCCGTGTGTCAAATACAGTACCCTGTATTATGAGTATTGACAACCGCAAAGTACTGTAAAAGTAAAAAATTCTTTAACAGTTACAGCTCTGAAGTTTTGATTCAGACTATAAGTTTGAAAATTACCAGTGTTGAAAGAGTATCAACTTATTGTTCAGTGTTGTCATGATGCTAGATATGTTCATCATATCTGGAGAGGAAACACACCATTAATCAGAATTCAATTATAATATCAAAGATTTTAATTGTTTTAATCTGATTACCTATGTCAAACATTAGTTCATTTAATGTCAGTAATGCAATAAATATCCACTGTTTATATTAAAAAAAAAACCGACAAAATAACAAACGTATAGTGCAATGCTTCATCTTACTTTCAGCTTTCAAACCCATTTTTGAAAGTACCCTGTACAATATTTCACAGACATTAAACACAGAGCATGTATAATACTTGTTGAGGTTAACTTTGTTTGACATATGCAGGAGATGTACTACACTCTTAAAAAATCTGGGGATTGTCAACTTACCAAGTTATAAAAAAAAATTATATGTATATATATATATGTACTGTATAAACCATGTTGTAAGTAGTACTAATGTCGAAAACAAAATCATTGTAAATATTTGTAACTTATTGTCTTTATCTACCAAAATGCAACTCATGAGTACTTTCAGTCATTTAGAAACAAAAAAGTTAACATAGCATTTTCCAACACTACTGTACTAACAAGTTCATACTGGAAACTCAGAATAATTATCTACTAACTCAGCAAAAAATATTTTAGAAGAGTTCCAGCTAATTGTAATAAATACTGTACAGTAGTGTATGTCATAATTCAGTCACTTAAAATGATTAAATATTATTATTAACTATTCATGTACCTTTATGTACTATATCAATGATGTGACTTTAAATCTGGATTATGTTACATAATTCATGTTTGCTGTGTTTCATTTTGAAAGTGAGTCTTAAAAAACTCTGTACAAATGCAGCTCACATCAGTATAATACACTTTCTATACACAGATTACCAATTTACCATTTAGATATACAAACTAATGTAACTAAACCTTGTAATCCTATATAACAAGAGTTCAATTATGCACACCATAGTTAACCCACATGGTTGTTCAACATATCCTTTAGCCAGAAAGGCTAACACCAAACTCATGAATTATACTGTGTGTACCATGGGTAAATATTTTTACTTCAACTCCATATTGAGTGATCAAACCACAAAATAAACAGTAGAAAAGTATGATGTTATGGATGACTAAGATTCTGGGTGATCAGGTCTTGTATAATTGAGATCTTGAGATAATGAGACTAAACAATATACTGTACCTTACCATATTTTGTAATATTTCAAGCCAATAATTTTAAAATTTCAAACTACAGTTACACAATCTGTGAAAGGAGAGGGTAGGACTGCATTTTTTACATGTATGTAAAATGAAATACAGTTCTATGAAATGAGTTAATACAAAGAAGGTGAAAATGATTCTATACAGTGAAAATGATTGCAACATACATGACTCAAATTTGAAAAAAGTTTTGGCAATTGCAAGTTCCCACTTTTTACCACATCCTAATAAAAGAATCCCTATTTTCTATAGAGTAACATATAACAATAAAATGTAGAGATGAATTTACTGACTACACTTGATTGAGGGCAGTAACTTCTTCCTACACATTATATAAGGAATGCTAACCCAACAAACATGCTGGTTTCACTTGATTGGTCGATAGAACAATACAAGGTCTTGAGAAGTGTTACCCCAGATGAAGTGCTGCACTGTACGAAGATCCATATTAGGATCTAATACCTGCACCGAAAATATTAAAAGTTAATTTGATCAAACAAGAAATACAAAAAATATAAATATACAGCATATATGCACTGAATAATGGTCAGCTGTCATTAAGAGAAGAAAAGTAGTTTTCATCAAGTATTATGATTAATTATTTTACAAGACATCCGATACAAACAGTGCACAGTACTCATAATCATTACGTATTTAAAAACCTGAAAAGAACAGCATTGCTGCCCTACACTCCTTTCATAAAAAAAAAATATATATATACAGTATATAATATATATATATATATATATATATATATATATATATATATATATATATATATATATATATATATATATATATATATATATATATATATATATACATACATACATACATACATACATACATACATACATACATACATACATACATACATACATACATACATACATACATACATACATACATACATACATATATATATATATATATATATATACTGTATATTAAATATCATATTCTATAATAATAATAGCCCTTGCATGCGTGACTTCCTTTAATTGGCCACATTCACCATAGTGAAAAAAAAACTATAAAATGGTCAAATGCCCTGAATGAAAACACACAAAACAAATACTGTATAATAAAAGACACAATAGAATTAATACACCACTCAGAAGTTCAACCAATACATTGTGACAATATTTAAGTAATATATGATATGAAGTACAGTACTGTATTAAAAAGCGATGCAGAGGTTTAACATGTTCATCCTCTGCCATCAAGTATCAAGAAATTTGGTGCAAGTGAAAAAAATTTTGGTCAATGATGGACGAGGTATAGTTAATTTGTGTGTCATAGTATTCTAATGCGAGCTCTACCATACTGGCATTATTTAAAATTTTCTAACATCCTCTCTGAAGTGCTAATGCTTTGAAATCATCTGCATTTTGATAGACCAGATATTTAACATTATTTTACAGAATACCGGTAACAGATCTGCTTACCAATTGTGAACACAATTTAGTTTGAATAAATGGACAGCTACACGATCATTTTCTATGAACCAATCAGCTATTTGTAGCCACAGACGAGGGGCATGGCTTATGGGCCAGGTTAGCATGGAAATAGTATAGTGCATCTCTTGACCCAGTTGGTCTCCATTATCTCCACATGCCCAAACCATCTCAACATACCTTTATGCAAAAGCCTACCCAATACTCTCAATACCCAGCCGTCCTCCTTGTTCTGAACAGGGTTTCCTATCTTTCAGTGTCACATTCCACCTCACCATTCTCACTTCAGCTCACTCAAGCCTGCATTTGTCATCCTCTTTAACTACTTATGTTTCACTGCCATACATCATCACACTTCTCATGCCAGTTGAATACAACTTTCCAAGGGAAGGTAGATACACTGCATTTATTCCTGTTGAAAAGTTTATCTCTCTCATTTTAACACCTAATTCCTTTCACTGACATAGTACTTATACATTCAAAATACTGTATATGGTCATGCTTAAATCAGCACACATACATCTCAGTTATTGCAGTTTTTCTGTGAAAAATGAAAACTCTATTTAAAGATTCCACCTGTTACTTCATTCTTCTTGTATACATACTGTACATAACAATGCAAGTACGGTATACTGTATATGCACTTTAGTATGCATTGCTAGTGTAAACAGTTGTGCTTCTTCTCACTACATAATATCTATTAATACAATTAACACTATTTTGCTTAGTGATACAAATAAATTAAATACACAATAAACTCACCTTATCATTACACAGCAGCTGAACACGTTCTTCTGCAATTGATGTAGTTTCTGCTTTATCATCACTTCCACGATCATTGTTATTATTGGTGGTTGATCCAGCATCACTGCCACCCCCTAAAACTTTCTCATATACGTGTTCCTGTACTTTTCGGATCTGGATGAAATCGTTGGCGCTTAAACGATCCCTGCACATGAAACAAATTGATAATTTAAGAATATAAAATTTTAATAAATTATAGCAAGCTATAATAAAATATAGAAAACAATAATGTTTAATCTTTATAATGAAGAAGGCCATTCTCTAGCAATAGTGGGTGAGGGGAATAAGTAGACAATGTCAAAAAATAAAATTCACACACAAAGTCAATGCAAAGAATGTCATAGGTTGCATCACATATTTCTGCAAAAACTATTGCAAATAAAATTACACTCTCACTCTTATCACTCATGTAAGCCACTGCTATGGTATACTGCAGGGTACCAAGCAAATACAGACACTCGCTTCATTTGCTATCAATCATTCACGCACAGTGCTGTAACATACGTGTTCTGCTATGGTGTTCCCTTTCCACAAGGTTTTCCTATTAATACACACAATCTAGCACTACCCATTAGTAAAATGTGTAACCCCCGAAAACCACTAAACATTAATGATAAAACTGTACCAAGATAACCAATGGCATAATGGCATTAAAAAACATAAAATAGAAATGATAGAACATCCTCCCTTAAACTTATATCTTGAATACTACACTTCCAACTGTTCTACTTCATTTTTCTGCAGTGTAAAGGTTTAATATTAATATAAAACAACATTCTAAACCTAACTACGTATTCACAATTTTACTTAAGACTTTATTTAGACTTCTAGTTTGCACTTCCTTTGCTGATTGGTCTCTGCCATCCCAATCCTGGTCAGGCTCTCTCTGTCTTGAATTTTTCGTCCTTTGTGATCCAAACTCTTAGGTACATGAACTTGTCACATGTTTCACAGTCTACCCATCAACCAAGAACTTCACAGCTTCTTAACTTATGTATCACTTCGATTTTTCTCACATTATCATAATTTTTTTCTTTTCCGTTCTCATGCAGGCATCAAGATCTGTGGTCCTTGTTCTGTGTTTGCCAAAATACTAATTGCCTGCACAGATGTATGTACTGTACTGTACTGTCGTGTCGCATCTTACGCGGGGGCTATGTTCCGAAGAGGGTGCGTAAAGGCAAAAACACAAACAGTACTGTATTGTCAAAATTACCCATGAAAATCCCTTAAATCTACCATAAGTTAATACTGTAGTTATATATACCTGTCAATAGCACATCTGGCAATTTGGCTGGATAGGCCTATTTCAGTTTAAATGCACACCACACACAGTATGTGCCCAAGATATTTTTTAAATAATTATCATAAGACCAAAAACATGTGTGTAGAAGCAAGCACTGAGGGTGGGAGGGCGAGAGCTACAGCTGGTGTTTCCTCACTCACTGCTCTGCTCTCTCACCATCTCCTGGTAAATGGCAACACAGTATTTTTTATTTTTTTAAATCCTCACATTTACTGGTACATTATATATTATTTTACGTACAAAGAATAAGTTCTTCCACATGCATACGTCCCACACATCCAGCTCACTACATAGTTCAGGCAATCACCCAGCTCGACTGACTCACAGACGTGTGGCAGTGACCATGGCGGGTGTGTATGCTGTGATGCATTTAAAGCCCAGTAACCCACCACTTCATAACACATTTACTTCCCACATATGCTCTTTATTTTTCTTATTTTATAGTTTTATATTATATTTTCCCTACTTCTAAGCCACATAACTGTATTGTAATGAATTTTTCACAACTTTTATAGTTTCATTACAAACAACAAGGCTGCTGGCTAGAACCGCCTGCATACATGTTCACTTCAACCACATATACAACCATGCTCTTCGTTTTCTTGTTTTACATTACATTTTCTTTATTTCTAAGCCACATTAGAATATTGTAAGGATTTTTTTACAACTTTTATAGTTTCAGTAAAAGCAACAATAAACGCGGCGGTTGAGCAGGTGAGTCAGAGACTCACCATACACACACGTTCACTTCTCACATATACACACCCAAGCTCTTCATTTTTTTTTATAGTTTTATATTATATTTTCTTTATTTCTGTTTTTCTGAGAGCCACACCAGGAGTCAACTGGCTGACATGCCAGTCAGCTGTTGCCTGGAGAGATGGTAATGCATGTTGCCAATGTTACATATAATGAAACTATAAAAGTTGTGGAGAATTCCTTACAGTACGTACTCTTATGTGACTTAGAAATAAAGAAAATATAGTAAAAAAAAATATATAAAATACAAATTATGAAGAGCATGGGTGTGTATTCCATGTGGGAGATGATCATAAGTGTGCATCTGGCGACTTGACTGGTCAGGCCTATTTCAGTTTAAATGCACACCACACAACCAGCTCTGCTGTAAGTTTACTGTATCCTCTTTGTCACTGAATGTCAAGTTGATTTCAGCTCAACTGGGATGTGCTGCCTCTGCTGACCGACCCTTAGCAACTGTTACTTAAGGTCAGCTAGCAGAAGCACATAACCCAAGCCCCCTCCCCTGCTCAATACATGCAGCTTACTTTAACACATTATTTTTATTTTGAGTTAATTAAAAAAATAATTATCATAAATATTAAAGCTGGATTTATAACTACTGTACTGATGAAGATAACCAGAGATGATTAACATCCGTACAGCAGGAACCGAACACTTCAGAACTAAGCAGAAATAATTTCTGAACTCTTACAGCATAACTATCTATTAATGTCATACCTGCAACATTTATTTTTAAATCTACAAATACCTCATATAAATGAAAATTTACAGATACAGTAACTTTCTTTTCACATTTATGTCTGTTAACATTACTGGCGGTATTGTAACTAAGTTACACTAGTCACTGTAACCACGAGGCTACTGGGCCAAGCTGTGAGATGTTATGGTTACGAACGTCCAACTTACAAACACCTGCAAATACGAATGAGGTCCCATGAGGTAAATTATTCAACGAATCCGACATAGGTACATCTGGTTCATAGTGTTAACATACAAGAACTAGTTTGTGTGGCATAGCGGTGAGGCAGCACGGCGGGTGAGGAGTAATGCGTCACCCAGCTACACTCTTTAAGAGAGCGTCAGTACACCTTGCTCTCACCTCAGTAATGTGTGTGATCAAGTGCAAACTGTTGTTTTTTGCATATTAGCTCTATTTTTCTGCCCTCATCATGGCTTACAAGTGCATCCAAGAAAAGGAAAACAAAGGCAAAACATCCTGAGTCATTGGTAAAGTGTTGAGCTTCAGTCTATCAATGATTGGAACAATTTTGAAAGACAAACACAAAATTCTTGAACATGTAAAAGGATCGACACCAATGCACTCAAATGTGATAACAAAACAAAGTGGATTGTTAATTGAAATGGAAAGATTGTTAGTGATATGGGTGGAAGATCAAAGCAACGGCATTTGCCTCTAAGTCTAGCCTTGATTCAGAAAAAAGGGAGAAGCCTCTGTAACTCCTACCAAAGCCCTTCTCTACATGCAAGCCAGCCCCAGGTGTTAAGCATTAAACTTTAATTTTTACTTTCCTTTACTGTATTTTGTCATTCAATTTCTTCTTTTCTCTTAAATTACGTGATTCTAGATGTATAAAAGGACTTAGGCTATGATATAATGCACATAGGGTATGTGTTCCAACTTACATACGTTTCTGACTTAACGTCCTCAGGAATGGAAGCCGTCCGTAACCTGGGGACCCCCTGTACATATTATTTTAAGAAAACTATGGCTACAGGAGGAAAATAATTGTACACAAAAGTTTTTTCCTAAATACTACCTGCTGAAATGGGTGGGGTGCATCTTACATGGCCATGCATCTTATATGCTGTTATCTCCCCCAGCCATACATTTCTACACTCCCTTTGGGTTTTTTCCTAAGCCAAGTGTGTAAAGTTGAATGAGCGTAAGTTAAATGTGTATAAAATGCGACACAACAGTACAATACAGAAGAATTACTCTGGCCTATAGGAAGGAGAGGGCTATTCTACGATCTTATCTCTGTTCAGCGAATTCATTCATGAGCAGCTCATTAAAGTCATCAGGGGGGCAATGAGCATGGTATAGCAACAGCAGTGATACCACTGCCTATAACTCTGGTTATCTTCCACAGTTGTGGCCTCTTTAATAAAAAAATTTATTCAACAAAGCATTCATTAGTATAGCACTAGCAGTTGTTCTGTCACTAAAACACCACCAGTAGTATTACATAACCTTCCCTCCACCATGTTAAAAGAGTGAAGGTCATAAACATAGTACAGTACTGTATCTGCAACTGGATCACAAAATCAGTACATAATACAGTGCACAACTGAATTTTATTTTATATTTTTATTTTCAGTCCTCAATTTTTTTCTACAGGACTCTGCTCCTTGAGAAGATCAAAGTAGACCACATTACCATATTTCTATTATTAACATGTGTATTCTTGCTCGGTGGTCTGTATTTTATATTACTATTTTTGGTTTAAACGTTTGTTTACTTCGTAATTGTAATATTGTTCAGGTTCATATTAAAAAAAAAAAAACACACACATATGAAGCTCTGAACTCACCTTCTCCCATCTTACTTACTGTACTTGAGAATTCAACCCTCCTTGACTTGCTCGAGTAGTGATATATTATTGTACATAATCATTATTCTATAGTTTTCTTTATTTGGCATAAATTTTCAGAATTATTGTCCTTCCTTAGTCTCAAAGAGCATTTGTAAGCAGCATTAAACTTTTTCCTACATACCATCTCTAATTTTATAGTTGACAAGTTATGTATTCAATTAATAAATTATCATTTGCCTTAAGGAACAGCAACTTACTTTTTCTCTCTTTTAATACCAGAAGATGCATGAGGAAGCAGGAAAAAGTAAACTTTGTTCTTGGGCTTTGGTGAAGTCTTCTCCACAACAATGTCTAGCACCCAAGGTGGAACTGTTTCATTAAGTAGTACTCCTTCAGTGTCACCACCAGCATCTCCACACAGCAGCCGGTACAGTGTTCTCCCTTGTATTTCACTGTGTAGAAAAATATCATAACCTTATTATACTGTATATGAAAATAATTATTTCACACAAATATATTAACCACTTCACTACAGAGATACCACTTTTAACATTTTTAATTGGACTAATGCCAGATGATTCTATTTAGCACAGAGGGGACCCCATACAAAATGTTAAAAGTACCGGTATGCAAAATTAATTTGTAATAGAAATAAAAATAATTCGATTTTAAGAATACTGGTAGAGCATGTGTGTGTGCAACATTTGTGCAGTCCTTTGTCATTGGACTAGTAATATAATAGATCTATAAATTACAAAATGGGCTGCTAGTAAGACAGTTCCAAAAAGTATCTTCACTCTTAAACTCTGATGAACAAAACTAGATTGGACTTGGCTAGCCAAGGATATCATATGGTATGTAATTAAACCAAATCACATACAAATTCTTATAATAGATTGGGTTATACAGCAAAATTCAGATATCCCCCAATTTATGATCATTTGTTTTACAGTAATCTGTTTCACTATAATCCTTGCTAAAGTTAACTAGGTTTTAACACCCTATTGCAATTTGTGTTAGGAAAAATCCATGTTAACGATAGTTATTGTTTGGCTAAATTCCCTGACGAAGAATGTAAACAATATAGAAGCGCAGTTTTCCTTTCACTTGTCAACTCCATGATGGCCAATATGACCAGAAACTGTTTTTCTATCTTCCAAGCAGCATTATCGACCTACCCGCGCGCTGCCTCATGGCCACCCTACATACTACAGTCCAGCGCTTTGATCCAACATGATCACTCCTACCCTTGATCATGTAACCAACAACATCGTTTTTTATCACTGTAGCTTTGTGATTGCTGTGAAACTTCGCTGTTTTTGGTGAGTTGAAAACATTTTGATCTGTTTTGGTGACTGTGAAGTGATCAGTGTACTGTACAGTAACTATGTAACTATATAACTTTGAAAATGGCTAGCAAGTGTCCTGCTGACTCTCCCGCCTGCTGACTCTCTCGCCTTCGACGAAGACCATGTCTCTGGAGACAAAGTTAGACAATGTTAAGCGGCATGAGAGAGGTGAAGGACTAATCGCTATAGCAAGAGCTGTTGGCCTGGTGCAGTGAACGGCCTCTACCTTTATTAAGAAGGTGCTGGAAGTGTAGGCCGGAGCACAGAACGTGACCCCAAGCTCTACTTCTAGGCTCCTGAAGAAGTGTGAGCCTGTGATGGGCAGGAGAGGCAACTGCAGGACTGGACACAGGACCAGAATCAACACCTCGTGCCTCTCTCCATAGCGCTTATCATGGGGAAGGCTAGCAGCATGTAGACGATGCTGAAGGCAGAGAGTGGTGAGAACAGTGATGATGAGATCCTTTCAAGGCAAGTCATGCGTAGTTTCAGCGATTCTTGGTTTGGATTGACATCACAACTCCCATAATGCAACGCATCTAACCTACAAGATGGTGGACCACGCAATGGATTATGGGAGTTGTGACGCCAATGCAAACTAAGAATTAGTGAATAGAACACACACCCATTATGAGATTGGGAAAAAATGAAACTAAAATAAAAATAATTTAAAACCTCCATCATTGTTAAAGATTGTTTGAGCTCGAGGCTAACCACAGAAATCATTTTGTATGTAGTCCCCGACACGAATGTAAACAGACCATACCAACATGCTTTGTGTAATATTTTTAACATTATATTTGTGGTATTAGCCTCTTATTTTTTTTTTCTACAATGCTGGTATTATTGGATTCTAATTAGTCAATAGTCAATAAAGATACCGCAAAACAATATACAAATATTCTTAGTTTGCATTGACGTCACAACTCTCATAATCCTTTGCATGGTCCACCATCTTATAGGTATAGACGCGTTGCATTATGGGAGTATGTGATGTCATATGAAAACTAAGAATTCAAGAAATATGCCAAACCCCACAACATTCGTCTGGCTGGTGAAGCAGTCAGTGCTGAGGTGGATAATACTTAATGCTTTCCCAGCACTCCGGAAGGCAAAGGTTGAGGAAGGAGGATACACCACCCAGCAGGTCCTGAACTTCAATGAGATGGACCTGTTTTGGAAGAAGATTCCACTGAGGATTTTCCTGTACAAGAATGAGATGACTGTGCCAGGCTTCAAAGGCAGCCAAAGACCATCTTACTCTGGTTCTTGTAGGCAATGCTGAGGGGGAAGTGAAGTTTACTCCAATGCTGGCTTACCATTCAAAGAACCCTACAGCTCTTAAGGGTTTCATTAAGGGGCATCTCTCATTCCAACAAAAAGGCCTGGGTCAAAACAATGTTGTACCAAAGTTGCATGGTTGGCTACCTCCCCAAGCATCTAAAGGAGTACTTCACTGAGCAGAACACAGCCAACCGGTTCCTCCTGATCCATGACAATAAGGTTCGCACCCACCTATGATGAGTAAGTGGACAGACAACATTACTGTGAAGTTCCTGCCCCAGAATGCTACCTCACTCATCCAGCTGATGGATCAAGGCATTATTGATGGTGCAACTGTTTGATGCAACTGACAGAAAGGAAAAGCTGATCATCAAAGAAATCTGACACAGCTACAAAATCAAGCACACTATACACAAACATCGACAAATCGTAGAAGGAGGTTACACAGAGCTGCATAAACGGCATGTGGAGGAAACTGTGGCTTGAGTGGGTGCACGACTTTGGCTGCTTTCCCAATGTTGTGGCCATAAACTGCAGCATCATCAACATCTCCTTGGAGGTTGGCTTTGAGGAGGTAGACAAGGGGAATGTGGCCAAGGCCTTGGAAAGCCACTCCGAGGAGCTCAAGGATAAAGGACCATTTGCTCATGGAGCACCATTGGGCATTGAAGGAGTCAGCTGATGAGGCTGAGGAGAATAAGCCTACGCCCAACTTCAACATGAGTGCTTCTGTGAAGGAAGCAATGGAGAAGGCAATGTCTTGCTACAGGGAAATGTACCTGGAGAAGAAGGCTGCATGACAGACATCCATCACTTCATTCTTCAAGCCCAATTCACAGCCACTGTCAAAGCCAGGACTGTCAAACTCTGAGGTCAGCAGCCAGGCAGAGACCTCTTCATCAGCAGCTTCTCCAAACCCAGCCAAATACTTCACCTTATTTAAAGCCAGGCCAAAGCCAACAACTCCAGCATCTCCTAGGTCTCAAACTCCTACTCAGTCTTCGGCTTCTCCGGACTCCCCAGAGGCTGTGTCAGTGTCAGACTGATGTCATCGCTCCATCAACAAGAGTTGCCTTGGCCTCAGATGGGACATGTGATGATGACCAATAGTGTAGGATAATTTTTTCTGTGTGTGGTGAGTATTGTTTAATTTTTGTTTTATTTAATTAGTTTAGGATTATTTCTTTCTGTGTTACATGTCTGAGTAGAACAGGCCAGGAATATATCCCACTGAAACCCACATTAAAAGGATCCCGATTGACATGAATATGATCTACATTAGGGTTTTCAGGAATGCAACCCTATCATAAATAGGGGATTACCTGCACCATTTTGATGCTTTTTTTTTCAAGTGCTCTACAATTTGAACTCTTTCAAACTACCAGACCACATGTATGATATTACAAATAACATCATTAAATTGACCAAAACCTTAGTCAGTCTGGGATATCGTCAGGATACCATGACACAGGTGAAGGAGGCTTTGTCTGGAAAATCAGGCTAAAGTTGGTACATGTGTTTATGCCACTCTTGTACACCTTGTCACATTTTCCTGTTTGTGCTGTGATATCATTAAAATGACCTTTGGAAGTGGAAGGAGAAATGGCAAAACACTTTTTAAGTGGCAGAAGCATAAATTTCTCAGCACCAAAGATATATTTAATTCTTTAAGTGATATCATCAACAGCCATAACATGGCGATCACCATAAATGAAATATCTTAGTTTTATAATACATTCGATTGCTGTGAATAGTATTTGCTCTATTGGTTGCATAGACATTTTTTTTGTCAAATCTAAATACACAAACCCCCTTATATTAACTATTAATTAGTAAGAAAATAAAAATTTTACCTTTTCGTAAAAGAAAAAAGTGCACTGAAGGGGTACACCAACCAAATCAATTTCACACTTAAATGATTATTATCATCATCACCATTTTACAGCTATTTTCAAGCATGCATAAATTAGTCCTGATTACAGTACTGTATACTTGATAGCCCTTTCCATCACCAAGTCCTTTTTACAGACTGGGTACTGGACATTCTATGTTAGGACTTCCAAGTGCCCTCTTAGCTGGCAAGGCAGATTCTCTACTCCCAGAGATAATCAAAGAATACCCACTAACAAAATATTTCCTTGAAGCATCAGCCAAACAAAATGCTGTACAGAACATCAAGTGGTACCAATACATACATGTACAGAGGGTCTTCATTATTATGTTGTAAAAATACACATCATTTCAAATATACGTCACTAACACATAAAGGAAGAAATTTTAATTATATGCCATGTGTTTCATGTATACATCGTCTGCATCATCTACTGTTTTATATAAAGTCTGTGTGTATCCGAATATGATGCATAAATAGTGTTAAAAACATCTACTGTGTATGAGAATGAGAACTTTAAGCTAGAAAAGACACCACCACATAATAAGACACACTGTACTGTATATAACAAAGACATACCTTATTATCACTGGTGTGTGAGGAGGGATGGAGAAATATTCATTGCCAGGTCTGGGTGTGTGACCATTGTGATTTGTTACCCCACCTTCAGCACCTTCTCCAGTCTCATTCTCTTCAAACAAATAAGTTCTCGGCCAATGTTCAAATAATGCTTTTAAAAGTAGTTCACCATAGTTTACTGAAAAATAGTACATGGAATAAATAGTGATCTCATTGACACTGAATGGCATGGTATACCGCACAAGCTATAAACATTCCTTACATTACAAAAAAATTCATGAATTGTAAGTAATTGAGCACAACATTTTCCTAACAATTCTGTAAAGGGCAGAAAGAGAACTAATAATTCAAGCACTATATAATTTTCAAATCCTAAATGCATTACTGAACAAGGCATGAAACAAAGTCTAAATTACCATCTACAGCCCTAAATTATTGGTTCGCTCAGGGTTTATATCACCTTCATTTACATAACTTTTACCAATTTACCAAAATATAAAGATTGTTATACATACTTTTAAGATCAACACCATCTTGAGTAGGAAAATCTGCTTCTTTGGCTGACACCCAAGCGGACAAACAATCAACTTCATCCCGTTTTTCTGCTAAGTGGATTGTTAACATCTGTGAAAAGAAAAATTATCTTAAATTCTTTATTAATAAATTAACTGCACATTTCAAGCTCAGAAACTAATAGATATGTTTCTCAGTTTTAAATCTATGACAACCTTGATGAACTCAAACTTATGCCATCATAAAGACAGGTCTGATAAGAGAAAAATCCAACCATATACAGTAATACCCCGATTTACGCGGTCAATTGAACCCGCGGAGTAGTGCGTAAAACGAGAAATGCGTAAATGGAATAACAGAACATATGGGATTAATTGAAATAGAGACTGGGACGACTCCCAAACTCCACTTTTTCCGACACAATACCGACATAACACCTACGTTGTAGTAAAAATAACATCTTAATTTTATGATGGTATGCACACACAATTAATATTTAAGAGAAATTCAGTCGCCAAGTTAATGTCCATTCAAATAATGGACTCAACTCCCCCCCTCCCCCTCTCTTCCCAAGCTCGCTGGCTCTTCCCTCTCTGAGAAATGTTTGGGTGAAAACACTAGATTTTAAGGTATAGTAATAAATAATACCCCAGACTAAAGTTAGGATAATATAATTGACATTGCTGGATTCCATGCAAGACCAGGAATATTTTGAATATAAACGTCATATATTTTGCACAAAAGATAAAATTTTGGCTCTTTGTAATGAAAATTCTTACATTAGATCTAAAATTTGTATGTCTAATGCAAATTCCATGATGTTTATATTTAAAATAATCACAATCTTATAAGAATTCCAGCAATGTAAATTATATTCTGGCCGGGTAATTTGTATGAATTTTATGAGCTAAAACAAATATCTTCAGTAAATAAACAAATTATACTTCACCCGCGTAAATGAGTAAATTCACAGCGTAAATAGGCATCCCGGTTCTGGCAAGGTACCGCGTAAATGGCCAAACGCGTAAACGAGAACCGCGTAAATCGAGGTTCAACTGTCCATAATTTGTCCAAAGCTATGTGAGGGTCCATTGAAAACTGGCTTTAATGTTGAATCAACTCTCTTAGAAAGAAACATACATATAAAATTTCCCTGAAAACTACCATATAAGTTTATTCTACAAATTACAGAAAGATAGAGAGAGAAACAGACAAACTTATATACCAATTGCAATACAGTAGACCCTTGCCATTCACGGGTTTGCGATTCGCGATTTCAACGATTTGCGGTAAGCAGATGGCGGCTATGGTGGCTAGCTTGCGAGCCTTTTCCCACAGCACAACGAGTCACTCCACACGCCCACGGTGTTTCACCTCCCTCCGTTCATGTTCACTCAGTGCCTGTGACCCAGCATCTCGTGTTGTACTCTCAAAACTTTAGTGCTTCTTTGTGAAAATGGCTCCTAAAAGACTGCCTAGTGTTAGTGCTAGTGATGCTAATGGAGTGAAACATAAAAGGCATAAGTCAGTGATGACCCTGACAAAGAAAGTTGAATTATTAGACATGTTAAAGGAGGGGATGAGTGATGTTGCGGTTGGCCGGTTATTTGGTGTGAACGAATCTACAGTGAGGTACATAAAGAAAAATGAACAAGCAATTTGTGATTCTGTTCAAGCAAGTGCTCCTGCAAGTGCTAAAGTGGTGCAGGTTGTTCGTGACAAGAACATAGTAAAAACAGAAAAAGCACTAACACTTGGATTGAGGACCAGCACGGCAAAAAAATTTCGATCGACTGCAACATGAATTGTGAGAAAGCTTAAAGTTTTTATGCCCATTTTTATGAGTCAATAGGTGTTGAAGGGGCTAGTGCAGCTACTGAACCAAATTTTAGTACCAGTAAAGGGTGCTTCGAGAATTTTTAGAAACATTCTCTCTCCATAATATGAAGCTGACAGGAAAGGCTGCATCAGTTGATCACACAGCCGCAGATGCATTTCCGGCCAAATTAAAGCAAATAATAGAAGAGAAAGGCGATAGACCAGAGCAAGTGTTTAATGCCGATGAATCCAGCCTATATTGGAAAAAACAAGCAAGAGAGACGTGCCCCTGGGTTCAAGGCAGCCAAGGACAGTGACGCTCATCTTCTATGGCAGTGCAGCTGGCCACATGATCAAACCTGGCTTGCTTTACTGCTCAGCAAATCCTAGGGCTTTAAAGGGTAAAAACAAGACCCTCTTGCCAGTTTTTTGGCATTCAAACAAAATGGCATGGGTAACTGTGCATGCATTCCTGGATTGGTTCCATAAATGCTTCATCCTGGAAGTTGAAAAGTACCTTGCTTCCAAAGAGATGGAATTTAAGGTGCTATTATTGATAGATAATGCACCAGGCCACCCAGAAAGTTTACAGTTTAGCCATCCAGGCGTAGGGGTGGTGTTCTTACCCCCTAACACCACTGCTCTTATTCAGCCTCTCGATCAGGGTGTAATACTCACCTTCAAGGCATATTACACCCGACACTCTTTTGGTTGTATCCGTAGTGCCATGGACGCAGACCCTGACCTCGATGTGAGCAAGCGTTGGAAGGAGTACAACAATGTGAACTGCATTACCAACATCAGTGAAGCATTCAATGAGCTCAAACCAGAGACAGTGAATGCTTGTTGGCGAACCTTATGGCCTGAGTGTGTGAATAACTTCCAGGGATTTCCATCCATAGTAAAGGATGTGAATGACATTGTGAGTGCTACATGTCAACTGGGTGATGAGGGGTTTGTGGACATGGCTCCTGAAGACTTGGAAGAGCTGATTGATGGGCAAGGAGAGGAACTGACAGGAGAGGATTTGGAAGAGTTGGTAAAAAGTGCTGAGGAATTGCAACAAGAAGGTTGTGGCTTGAAAAATTTTGGTGAACTATTTCGACATGTGAAGGTGGTAATGATTTCTTCGTTGACCACGACCCTTCCATGGAACGGAGCCTTAGGATGGTACAAGGAATCAACCAGATATTGTTTCCCTACCAGGAAATGTTTAAAGACCTCAAAGCAAAGAAGAAACAACTACCAATCACAATGTTTTACGATAGAACCAGCTGCTACCACCGCCGCTCCACCCTCCTCCTCCCAGCCACCCTCCTCCCGGCCACGCACCACCTCCCGGTCGTGCGGCTCTCCTCCAACCACCACTGCATCACCCTCTTCCAACAGCGATCCTGATGATCCCCCATGCTTCAGTAACCAGATGTCTCCCTATGTACAGTGCGCTTCATCAAGCTCCAAACTTTCACATACGAATGTAAGTAGTATTGGTGACTTTCAAGTTTCTCATACACAGTATAGGTATACAGTAATGCACTTAGATAGTATATAAGTTGCTATTCACAGTTTTGCCTATTTGTGCCATTCCTTGGAACCTAACCCTCGTGAATAGCAAGGGTTTACTGTATCTCATTTGGCCGGGTTGAAAGCAAATTCTACAAATAATAATACTGTACTTATTTCTAACAGTAGCTGACTTTGAGGAGTAGATAGCAATTGGTGTTATTAAGGTGTAAATTTTTAATTAATGAAAGCAGTAAACACCCAAATTGGCACGTTATGAAGGATTACATATCATGTTATGAGTTGGAGAAACAAAATGTACTGTACTGTACTTGTAGTACACCTATATTTAACTCTATGGGCTCAATAAGCCTTGTATGAATTTGATTAAATATTACTTCCTTTAAACCTGTGCAATAAAGTATACAAAAATGATAAGCAAATTCAACATGAAACTGGAAGTGTACAGCCTATACATGGGCCATGAATAAAGCTCTGTAAGGCCACAAAGAAATAAGTACAGTACTTCTAATGCTCAATATTATCCTACTACATGATAACGTTTCAAATACTTACTCCAGTTTTAAGATCCACAGTAAACCAACTAGGAACATAAATAGATTTGTTTCTCTTTTCCTTTTCACTGTCAAAATCCACTTTCCCTAATTCGTCCACTTTTGCTGCCTGCAAGAAAAAAGTTCTAAGCATTTAATATAATAATACAGTATCACCATACTATGGAATACAGTTAAAAATAACAAAATTATTTGTGAACAAGACATGTATTTCAAGGTACTATTAATGCAGTACTGGGAGTCCTCGTTATATGTGTGTTCAGCATAATTACAGGGTATGCAAATTTGCTCTTATGTGAGAAACCTCTCTCTACCCAAATTTAGTGAGAAAAATTGGCCTCATGTAGTTCAAGCATGTGAGAACATGTTCTGAGTCAGTCACACACCACTTCTCAGCACAATAGCATCTCAGCTAATACTCAGTTGATGCCAGTGGTACACACACACTAATAGTCCCTGCATTCATATCAAAGGTACTCAAAACTTTTCAGACATTGTATTCCTCTTTAATTAACTCTTTTGCCGGCCTATGACACTATTTGCATCACTACATGGGCCATGGGGAGCAAGATGTCTCCCTTGACCCAGAGTGCTCACACTAGCCAGACCACTTGCACAGGGTTCTGGCACAAAAGATAGTATTTTTTCCACACTGATTCTCAGCCATCCAATATCATTTATACAGGAGAACTATTTTATTCTTTTATCACTTAGTCAGATAGTTTATATTTTCAATTAAAAAAAAAAGCATAATTTTACCCATAAATGGTAAATGAAGAGTAAATTCAATAAAAAATGTATGCATGTTGGATAACGTAGACTGTCATCGGCCAGTATACAGGTGAGATTTGGACTGGATGATCAGCCAGCAAAAGGGTTAATATGTTTGGCAAGTGTATATTTATCTTATGCCCTCAGGATAAGAGGCAAGTATTCATCCACCCTGTCTTTTAACTCCTCAGAGATATACCAACTAGGAACACCCCACTCAGTGGTCTGAATTGTCCACTATGGCAATGGCATCTACAAACAGCAGTTGACTCAACTGAATTAATACTGAATCTAAAAACCAATAACAAGCCTCAAACTAATTTTACTTCAATTAAAAAAAAAGCAAAAAACAAAAACACTCAAGCCTTCACATTGCTCTAATATGTAATAAATTAAAATTCTGCTGTGATACTAACCTTAAGAATATCCCATAGAACTACATTCTCCTCAGTGTCACGTGTTAGTAAGTGTCGTTTATCATTGAGGACTGTGTACTGTTTGATGGATGGGCCACCCCGAATGGTCCAATCTGGCTGGGTCATCACAGGTCGAATATCTAGTTCCTCTTCATTCTCACAATAGTCCTCTACATGTGATAATCTGTTGTTCAGTGGCTGTAAATACAGTAGACATATAAGACTGGTTACAACAATGGATTACCAAGAAATTTTTATTTAATTTTATTGCCTATCTAACTTTACTAAGCAATTCATGTCATGCACTCCCACATGTCATGCACTCCAGGTACCTGAATTAGTCCACTCTTTCCTACCATAACCTTGTAAAGAAAGTAGAAGCAGCTATATTCTCTCTTGCAAACGAGTGAGAGGAAGCCTAATGAACACACAACAGTAACATCAACTAGAAAGCACCTTGCCCTTAATTCTAAGCCCAAACACAATGAATATCAGATATCAAAACCCATTCACTTCTGGCTACACCCAACCTCCAAACAAGTGGTACATTATACACTGCTTTTCTGTAATAAATTGCCTTTCTTCATTACTTAACAGTGGATGCAGCACGGTCTTCAGTGTTAGCACTTACTGTATAACAATATATTTATTTTCATTTTACAAGCATTAATGAAGGTTTGTTCACAATCCATTTTGAATTCAGCTGGTAATCCTTTCTCTTCCAATAGTTTGATTTCCTAGCTGCCTGGAGGTCAAAAGCCTGTAATTTGGAGGAGGTTCTTTGGTGTGAAATGACATAAATATTACAAGAACTTCTAATTCAGTGATAGTTGAGGGGCTCACCAACATTCATTCCAAAGACTTCTAACCTGTGACAGAGTACTAAGACCTATACCCTGGGCAACAAAACCTAATTTATCTACATCCCTCTAAATCTGAAAGTCACTCATGTTTGAGATTCAAGGACACTGACGAGCTTAGGGAGCCAACAAATTATTTTCTAGTGTCCTACTGTAGATTCAGCCAAGTGAATTTCTGGGAAGAAATAAACATCAACTGCTTACCTTTAATCAAAAATTCTACTCTATCTAGGATTTAAATTACTACCAGCATCACCTAACCAAATCTCTGCATTCACCCAAAACCAATTAATCATATAAGGCTTTAAGCAGTCAACACAGAAAATCTTTTTGTTTTAAGGAACTCGAAAAGCATTGTAGAAAACTTTTTTTTTAAACCCGAAGGGCCACTTTGGGAGAGACCTTAAATTAGAAAGAAAAAAAAAACAATCCTCAGAAACAAAACTAAAAAATGGATCCTCTAAGTCAATCAAAATTAACCACAAGTCCTTCCAGAAACACCATCTCACCTGGTGAGTAGTAGTCATCCCAAACTTCATATTAGAAATCTGCTGATTCAACCACTTATAACAGAAATAAGGATCGGATCCAGGAATATCAAGGGTGGGGGGGTTCAAGAAGTTGTGGGCGGGGAAACATGGCAAGCACAGCGAGCCCACCCAGCTAGGGGTGTTGGGGGGTCTGGGCATTTTGAGGCCATTTTGGAGCCATGTGCACTTGATATTAGGAGATATTCTGAGGTCAATAGTAATTACTTTTTACTATATAAAGATGCCTGAGTACAAAACTGTATTAAAGAAAAAGTATTGGAATTTTCTGATGAAAAGGGAGGGGGAGTATGGACCCTCAAGACCTCACACTGGTATGTAAAAGTGAGAGTAAATCAACTAAAAGGGAAACTCTTGGTAAGCCTCCAAAGTGTCATCCTGAGAATAAAGCCTTGGAGACACTTATACCTGCATAACCCCGACCAAAGAGTTGCAGGATATGGAGAGGTTGCCCAGATTTAGAGAAAAACAAGATATATTTCTGTGCTCTACTGCTATAACCTACCTTATGAAGACCCCCTTTATAATTCTTCAATGTTCCACACAAAAAAAAACAGAAAAGTGTAAACAGTAACCTCTGAATAACTTCCCATGGAAATCATAAAGATTAACATCCAAGATCAGTACGTACCCTGCCACACAACCCAAACCTCATCATCATTCCATTTTACTGCATGGGGAAGGTCTCCCAGGACCTGAGATACAATGTACCAAAAATGCTTAAAAAAGCAACACTAGGCTAAACACCACAGTTCATGAACACAATATCAAACTGAGCCAAGATTAGCAGACAACTCCTTAATTGCTACACCTGCTCATCCTGAACAAGCAAAAACTATACTGTATGTCTTTTTGTTGTAGTGGTAGCTGGATAAGTGGTCATGTAGTATCTGTGAAAGATGAGCTGGTACTGAACAGTTCACACCTAATTTGTGTGATGTCTGACTCATCATTACCCAAAACTGTAGTTTCTTTCTTACACTAGCTTAACCTCTTGTGCATGGGGTCTCTTCCAAAGCTGAATAAAACCGTCTGGCATTAAACAAATAAAATATCAAAAGTGGCATTCCCATAGTGAAGGGGTTAGGGGTTATTGGAGATAGTCTACTAGTCCCTTGTGTACAGGGTCCCCTCTGAGCTGAGTAAAATTTTCTGGTGTTTGCCAAATAATATATTAAAAGTGGTGTCCCTGTAGTGAAGGGGTTGAGCAACCCCCAGATCAAGAATAGAGGTTACTTTTCAAGTGGCTGTTTACAGTATTTGCACTGATCTAGATGGACATGAGTTTCCACTCCAGAATGCATACAACCCCTCTGATAAGGCAGGCTATTTCAGGAGGGGTTCTGGAGAATATTTTGCATGTAATTTTACAGACAAAACTGAATGCAACAAAAAAATATAATATGACATTACTGATCAGCTAAAATAAAAAAAATAAACATGTAATGAATAAATCCCACTGGTGTAAATATAATTCCATAACCAGTGAAGAAATGTCAGGTGCAAAACTCAATTCCATGGGTACTGCAATAAGAGAAGTTATCATCTACCCAGAATGTGCAATACAATGAATTCAACCAAACTCAAGGTGTTAATAATTATTGAAAGATAAATCCTGTGTAACTACAACAACCTAGCTAAATATTGGCATATCCAACATTTGTAACATTCACATACGGACAATTAGATATATATTGTGTTTTTAATGAGGGTAACCTGATATCTGCCTTAAGACATAAGTTCTTAATTATATCATAATAGGGCAGCATCCAAGTGTGAAACAATAACAGTATATTTACCCAACACTTTATGGCTGAATTTGTAGTCGCTACATAGAGTGATGAGTTATCAGGAGTCAAGAGCATCTTGAGCACTGGGGCAGACTCCTGACATAACAATACATATTTATCAGGAGCACGAGTCTCACACTTGTATATGAGTTTATCTCTCCCACCAGAGTACACAGATGTGAAGGTCTCATTTGCCTGCAAGTTTAAATAAAAAGGAAAGGATACATATTATCAAAGAAGCTTTATTACTGTATATAACAATCTAGTATATTAAATAAAAGAAGTTACTAAATCCTAATATCTTTCTCAACTCTTATATTACTGGCACCCTTGTTACTATAAACCATATTATGTCTATCATCCCTTACAGTCCTATGGGGAGTCATCTTATCCACTCTCACAGATGGTATATTTTGAAGGAATATAAGTCAAAAACTGAATATTTTTTCTCTAACTGAATGAAAGAACTCGGTTCATGAATCACAAAAAACACAATATCATTTCTTAAACCACTTGAACCCTGTGATACATGATGCAGACTCTTGGGGTGGCTAAAGCCACCATGGTGTGACTTCATGGACCAGCTGCATTCTACAATGTTTTTCTTGCTTATTTATTTGTGTACTTTGACTACCAACTAAATCTTCCTCTTCAGCAATACTGTCAATATATACAACCCATATTTTCTGGACTTTGCAAGGCCTAAGATTTTCCCGAGTGTTGGGCCAACTGGGCTGACCAGGGTAGCCTGCAGAGTATATGGCAACACTGCAATATGTTCACCCCACATGCTGGCCCTTACTCAACTAAACTCCTGGCCTGTGGGCACCCCCTCCCATCCCTTATCTCCCTCCACAAAGGTGAATCAGCAAGCTGACATTTGCAGGCTATTAACACCTTCTTGACGGAAATCTTGTTATGTGGTACAAGTGTACCACAAGCACAAACAATCAAATAATATCGAGGCAGCTGACCCGTGAGTACATGTATCAATTGTACCATGCAAAGCAGTGGGTGTTTTCAGAAGGAAGGTAAGCACATTATAGGTCTTATTTTTACACCACAAGGTGGCACTATTCTGGTACAGTGAGTTCTGCTATAACGCGTGTTTTGATAACGCGAATTTGCTCTAAAGCGATTTATGAATAGAGGAACGATATTTGTATAACGCGAATGCTTGTTTGCTGTAACACGATTTTTGCTTACTATTTCTCCAATTTTGTGGTATTAACTGTGAATATGGTAAAGAAGAATATCTCCAAGAAGCGTTCTGGTGATCGAATTCCCGGTGATGATCGTAAAAGAAAGGATATAACACTTGAAGAGAAGCTCGATGTTATCAACCTCAAAATCACCCTTCTCCCCCATCAAGTTACATTCATATTTTTTCAAGGTAAAGTGTTACATTTACTGTATGATTTCATTATTAGATATGAATGTAACATTTATTTAGACTGTGCTATCCTTTGTGTTAGGCTAACTACTAAATTTTTTCGATTTCGAGTAATCTGCACCTAACCCTATTTTCTCCATAAGCCCTGTTATTTCTATTACGCGATTTTCTATAACACGATATTTTACAAGAACACAACTATCGCGTTATAGCAGAACTGACTGTATGTTAACAAAGTCTTGGGAAAGTACTGATGTAGTAAAATGTCATGAAAATCAGCCAATGACTACCTGCATCCATTTTTCATGCTGCCTCCTCAACTAATCATAATTTTTTTTTTTTATAATAATCCCTTAGATGTTTGAATATGTAATTGATGCATTGCAATGCTCGTGACCAGTATTCTCTTGTCTTTTGCGTGGTTGGGAAAACAGGTACTTTATTCTCCATAGACATAGCGTCACTAGACACCACTGACAGTGACCTTGAGTTTGCAAATTATTCAGAAAGTGATGATAATCATTCACTTGACTTTTTATTAGAGGAACATGAGAGTGATTATGATCTTGAAAAAGACATAGATACTAGTGAAGACTGTTGTACTGTTGTAGTGACAGCAATGGAAGCACCTCTGCTATGCAAACAGTCAGCAGTGGTTCACCACATCCCTCCCCAGAGCTCTCCACCTCCTTTCCTCGTTTCTCACTCATATCAAACCCATTTGAAGATAAAAGACCAGACATCAATAATAAATGTGATCAGAAATTTAATGATATGCATCCAGGTATTATTGCCCATCAGAAACATCCTAGGACTGCTCTTGACTGTTTTGAGCTTTTTAAGAGAAAAAACATAATTTCTGCATTGTGTGTGTGGACTAATACTTGTGCTGTTTACCATTTTCGTTATGACACCATGTGCAACCCACAGATTTCATGGGTAGAAAATGGGTAGATGTGACAGTAGAAGATATGTATGCATTCATTACGTTCAACCCCATGAGTAACTGCATGGGGTTGAACAACTACCACAACTATCTGACTACTAGAGTGGATCCATTCTCTGCCAATGACTGCCTGTTTTTACTGAGCCTGCCATGGGTTGTAACATACAGTACTTTATATGCAAATTTTACGCTTTCTTCGGTTCTAGGAAGTAATGCCCTACCTGCAAGGATCAGCCTGGTTTATGCTCCCCTGAACATTACCATGCTTATCATAGCCAGTAGCAAGCGAAGAATTTCCTTTACATTCATTAAAAATCAAGAGCAAAAATTGGATTAATGGTGTATATATGTGTAATTCAAATAAGAAAAAAAAATAATTCATACTCAGAAACTGCAACTAGGAAATAGAAATAAATATATCTACAGGGGGCCCCCCAAATTTGCGGGGTTAGGTTCTCAAAATGGCTGCGAATCACCAAATCCGTAAATAACATTTGCAGATGGAGTGGGGGTTACATTTTCACTTGTGTATAAAGAAATGTATATTCCCTTTATGTGTTTGCCCTTAGGACAATTATTTTTTTTCCTGTAGTATTGTACAGTAGAAAGTAGACACAACACTAACACGAGATAAGTTCCAAGAGAGGTCACTTTAAACCAAATTTGCACTAAATCGAAGTGTTGTTTCAATGGACTAATTTAGTTTGGTACTTGAGAGAAACACAAAATACTAAAAAAAACTGAGAGTCTAACCAGATGAACCTCAGCCCATCTCCTAGAATAAACAAAACATTGTTTTTTGAAGAGAATAAAAGTAAAAAGTAAAGTATTATGTTAAACCAATCATAAATCAAAACAGCTAAAATTAAGGGATGCAAAATGGTCTGTTTACTGACTTGGATGATTGGGGAGGGGGGTGGAGGTGAGGTGAAATGTTTGACAGTTGATGCCAAGGTCTAGTGCTTATTTATTTCTCTGTCCTTAAGAGTGACTAAGTTTTTCTCTTATAAAATGTCACTGAACTGACATGGGAGAATATAATTAACATTGTAGGAATTTTTTATAAGATAGTGACTAATTTGAATATAAACATGCTATAGCTCGCATTAGACATACAAATATTAGTTCTAATTTAAGAATTTTATTACAGAGCAAAAATTTTTATCTCTTGTGCAAAATATATACCGTTTATATTCAAATTATTTGCTGTCTTGCAAGGATTCGTGCAATACAAATTATATTCTCCTAACTTTAGTCTGTGACATTATATAAGATGAAAACTTTAAGCCTAAAACACCAAACCCTGGCTGGGAAGATGGGGAGGGAGGGAGGGAGGGAGGGAAGGAAGTGACAGTTGGCACTAAAGGTCTAATGAAGTATTTATTTGTGTCCTTTAGCTTGAGTTTATGTTTTTTGCTTATAAAATGCCACAGAAGTGAACAGGGAGAATAAAATTTACATTGCTGGAATTCTTATAAGATAGTGATTAATTTGAATATAAATACAGGGAGTTCTGCTATAACGCTTGTTTGCTATAACGCGATTTTTGCTTACTATTTCTCCAATTTTGTGGTATTAACTGTGAATATGGTAAAGAAGAATATCTCCAAAAAGCGCTCTGATGATAGAATTCCCGGTGATTATCGTAAAGGAAAGGATATAACACTTGAAGAGAAGCTCAATGTTATCAACCTCAAAATCACCCTTCTCCCCCATCAAGTTACATTCATATTTTTTCAAGGTAAAGTGTTAAATTTACTGTATGATTTCATTATTAGATATGAATGTAACATTTATTTAGACTGTGCTATCCTTTGTGTTAGGCTAAATACTAAATTTTTTCGATTTCGAGTAATCTGCACCTAACCCTATTTTCTCCATAAGCCCTGTTATTTCTATTACGCGATTTTCTATAACACGATATTTTACAAGAACACAATTATCGCGTTATAGCAGAACTACCTGTATGCTATAGTTCGCACTAGACAAAAATTTTATTAATCATTTAGTACATTATTTTGAGTACTACATGTACAGTACAGCTTTGCCCTTAGGACAGTGTAGCGTGCCCAGAGAAACATTAGGCGCAAAATTTTAAATATGATGCGCCAGATTGACTCACTCAAAATAGGAAAGATTCGCTCTAAATTAATAATCTTAAATTGAATCGATTTAAATCGACGTTCTACTGTACGTGTGTGTGTGTGTCACACATACACAAAACACATGCAAATAAATAATAATTGGAAAATCCTCACAAATAATCAGAAACAAATTTATTAAAAATGTGACAGTCTACCCTCAAATCCGTGCCACAAAAATGCCAGAAACTTTAAAACTACCCACAGACATTCTTGGGTACATCCAGGGTGTAATCCACGAATAACCGAGAACCACGTAGTAAAAATCCGCGAAATTGGGGGGTCCCCTGTACTCACTACCTGAGTTGTCCTTAAGTCAGACCACAAGGCCATTTATTTTTTTACAAGAACTTAACATCACTCACAAGATAAGTAAAGTAAACATGCTAATAATTTTCACACTTGCATACTTATCCACTACCCAGCTATGAACATTTTAGTACAATGTATATGAAATCATACAATACACTACATAATTTGATTAATATTTTCTTCATGGAAACTACGTTTTGTTGAGTTTTTGTGATTTGTAGATACATAAATAATTAACATAGAAAAAACGGTGAAGGGAGCGCGCAGTAGAGAAGGGGTTAACATCTCTCGCTGGGAAAACTTGTTCCAGTTAGCACCATGCAAGAGCCAGGAAACTATGTTTCCGCTAGTACCTTAAGGGTTGAAATATACAATACAGCATAACTAATAATATACATTACAAAAAGCTTTTTCTTAAAGAAAAAGCACATCACATAAATCCTTGAAAAAATTACAAAAGGACAATGAATGTGAAAGTGGGTTCCATAGGCATGATTAACCATTAGGGACAATTTGGATACAGCACACTGTACACCGAGTCTTTGAAACCCAAGAAGGTAGTGTGGCCAGCACCGTACTTGACCACCACCACTTCCCCACCTTGCAAAGTTCCCATAGGTACCCATTTACAGCATCAAACCACAACCCTTACGACAAAAAAGAGCACTGTATCTACTAATATGCCACACTCCACAATAGCACTATCATTATTACTATTTTACAGCCATTTCCCACACACTTGCATGAGTTAGCCATGATTAGTTGACGGTATGGAGTTCCATTGCCATCAGGCAAATTTGAAGCAAGCTTTATGGTTGTACATTATATGGACGACTTCCAAGTGCCCTATTAGCTAACAGGGCAGTCTCAACTCCGAGATAAACAAAGATTACCCGCCTGTCTGGACAGTAAAACCATTATATTATATTATAAAAGAACTGATGTAAAACAGTGGAGATTACAATAAAAGAGAGGAAGTAAAAAACTAGATAAAATACCATAAAATCCTGAATATTTGAAATCCAATTAAAAATCCACACATGAATTTCACTTTAACCCTAAACTCTACTCACTCTTATGCTAACAGGGTTACAATATGGGTGTGTGCCCAAATTACCCTGTACTGTACACTCTTTAAAAATAATCATCAGTAAAATGATGCTGAATGACAAAGATGCAAAAAGAAGATGTGCTCATTGCCCATCCATTGATTCATTAAGGGTTTCAATTATAAATTGAATGTTTTTAAATAAATTACTATTTATTCTATATGCCAAAAAATATGGCATGTACCTTCCCATTAAAAATTCAAATGAAAATTTAACATCCTTTAGGCCATCCCCAAGTGAGGACCATTAACTTTAGCACAGGGCCTGGATATGATCAGTGGCCAGCTCTGCATATAAAGAAGAGCATTAAACCCCACCATTCCTGCCTGGCCATGATACAATATATAACGTGTGTCATGTGAGAACGAGTTCAGAGTGTTACTATCTGAGCTTTAACACCCCTCATTTATAATATATAAGAGAACTAATACAAGAAGATTTTGAGATATACAGTGGATGTATGGTGTCTGAGAATAACTACTATTGGTATACGTTACAAAAGGATTTAATAAAGACCACACCTTCTGTTGGAAATGATGGAAGATTTAGTGCATGGTTTATAGGTGAAGATAGGGTGCATTATGTGAAGATGTCATCCTGTGGTGTTGTCATAGGAATAATGATGTGGTAGGATTGGAAATTTTATAATCAGCAGTACCTGAAGAGCCCAAACACCCTCCTCGTGGATCCTTATGGTTTTGATGCATCGCTGCTGCCCTAGTGACCACACTCTAATTGTACCATCTGAGCTGCCTGATATGACTTGAGTACCGTCCCGATTAACTAACAAAGCTTTTACGTTGTCTGTGTGACCTGTATGGAAGATAATTAATCAAACATTTGTTCATAAAGTTTAAAAATAAACATTTTCATAAGAATAAAAGTTTTCTTTTAAATATGATTATAATAAAGGATTATAGTCAAATTTATACATCTACATTGTTCCTTTCTAAGGAGTGTCAAAGCATCAATATTATTTAGTTGGCTGTCAATCTCTTTATCAACATTTTAGATCAAGAATAGTATTCCTTCCTCATTATCACTGTAATTGTTATTTCCCTGTTTACATAAAGACCATGTCAAGGACAGTGACTGCATACAGTACAGTACTGTGCTCACAAAGGCCTTTAGTATTAACATCCCCCATTTTTCACTTTGGTACAATTATTTTATGAAAATATTTAGAATTAATTCATTTTGAGGTCTAGATGTTTTGCATTCACTACAACATGTTTACTTTTAAAGGACTGTAAACTTATGGAGAGTATCTATTCACTACAACATGTTTACTTTTAAAGGACTGTAAACTTATGGAGAGTATCTAACAAACACATCACATATTCAATAAACAAATTTATAATCATTAACAAAAAATATGCATGTAGGTGGCAGCTAAGACTCCAATAATTATCCCTTTTACATTAAAACTTCCATATTTTCAATTAGATCAGAAGCATAAAAAACTCAAACTAATCTGTACAGTCAAAAAAAAAAATACAACATTACCTTTAAGCTTCATGAGTTTGTTACCAGTACGAGGATCCCATACTCTAAGTTGCTTCTCTGTGCTGCCACTCACAATGACAGTCCCAGGAGCATTCATGGCTAAACTGTAGATAGAATCCTTATTGCCATTTAAGGATGAAGCTGAAATACAAAAGAGTGTGTTTAATTCCTTATTATAATCCTTGTACAGCATAACATACTCCACATCAGTACAGCATTACATACTCCACATCAGCACAGCATAACATACTCCACATCAGCACAGCATTACATACTCCACATCAGTACAGCATTACATACTCCACATCAGTACAGCATTACATACTCCACATCAGCACAGCATAACATACTCCACATCAGTACAGCATTACATACTCCACATCAGTACAGCATTACATACTCCACATCAGTACAGCATTACATACTCCACATCAGTACAGCATTACATACTCCACATCAGTACAGCATTACATACTCCACATCAGTACAGCATTACATACTCCACATCAGTACAGCATTACATACTCCACATCAGTACAGCATTACATACTCCACATCAGTACAGCATTACATACTCCACATCAGTACAGCATTACATACTCCACATCAGTACAGCATTACATACCCCACATCAGTACAGCATTACATACTCCACATCAGTACAGCATTACATACTCCACATCAGTACAGCATTACATACTCCACATCAGTACAGCATTACATACTCCACATCAGTACAGCATTACATACTCCACATCAGTACAGCATAACATACTCCACATCAGTACAGCATTACATACTCCACATCAGTACAGCATTACATACTCCACATCAGTACAGCATTACATACTCCACATCAGTACAGCATTACATACTCCACATCAGTACAATGGCCATCCACTGGTTTTCAGTGTTGTTGGCTAAGCCGTGACAGGTTTAGAGCAGGCTTAAGCCTTAGCTATTAAAGAGAGGGTGAATAACTCCATGTTCAGCTTCTATGGAAGAGAGAGAAAAGGAGAACAATAAAGAAGGAAAAGGAGTAAGAGAGAAAAAAGGGAAAGAAAGAGATTGTTTTCATTAACAATTAACAGAACATGTAATAGATCTTACTTGTAACTGTGTTGTTGCTGGCTGTAAGGGCTGTTAAAGTTTGAACATCCCACAGAAAGATCGCTTTATCTAGCCCGGCAGATGCTACTTGCTCACGATCCCGTGCATATGCCAAGGCTTTCACATAATCTTTGTGAGTTCGGAGAGTTGACATACAGAAACCCTGTAAAAAAAATCAAGATTCAACTGCTGCAAAATATATGATGAAATACCTACAGTGTATATTAATCAACAAAAACTACTCTTTCAACATGAATACTGTACATATTCCTTTAGTGCGATGGAAGGCAGGTCTGGGTTCTGTGGAAGGCCTGAACCTGAAGCCTGTTTATGACATGTACTGTATCAGGTTACTATTTAGCTGGGGGAGAAACTAGAGTACAGTATAAAAATTCTAAAAGAAAAGGATTTCTGGAAAGGTCAGGAGTGAACCCACAAGCTTGACAATGCAGTACATGAGTTACTTGATGCACCTCATTCAAATACAAAACTCCACTTATCACCCCCCATTTATCCAGCAAAATCTATTTTTTTTTAATTTTAAATCACAAAACCTCAACACAAATATCAATTTCCTTCTCCCACGATGATATCCCACAAGCTTGTGCTACCCTTCTTGTCTCATTTTTACAAATAGCTCTTGAAACATGCCATAAACTGGAGTGTTTCTGTTAAATTCTGTAGTCATCCACAGGGCTAAAAATTAGTTCACAATAATGTAAAGTTGTTAAAAACTGAGTACAGTATTCAACAATGCAATGTGATGTGCATTTCTACACTATATCTAACAAAAGAAAAATCATACTGCACCTGTACAACGAAGAGACAATTGAAAAGGGATGTTAATTGTACAAAACACCTATGATGAAAATAGGAGCAAACTTATCAAAGCAGAACCAATTTGACACACACACATATATCACCCATTACTGTTATATACCTACACCATTTATACCAAGTTTATAAATTTCTTTGTAAACTGATGAATGAAATAATTTTATAATCTTATACATACAGACAGATAAAACTTAGACACACATATGTATATACCTGATTGCTATGTACCCCCACCCAGTCTGGCTAGTGATGGAGTGCTAAAAAATGAAGCATATACAATAGATATAGGATGACTGAAAAGGTCCAAAATATGGGAGAAATACCCTGAATGTACTCTGGATATGTAAAAATGGTGATGGATAAAAAGACTGAAAAGAGAGCATACCAAAGTAGGATAAGAGGTAAGACTGAAGGTTACCAGCATCCTGAAAGGGAAAATGATAAGGCAGAGGTCTCGCAGAGGTCTCATGACAGTAAAAGGAAGGGTTGAAACATGGGAGACAGATATATTAACACTCGAGATCATACACTCATAAGTGGTGTAATGGTGTTTTTTTTTCTCAAAAATTTTCTTGTCGAATTATTTCAAATTTTAATACCACTTTTGTCACGCCATTCTCTTGCATGGAACCAAGTCTCAAGGCTAGGTGGCAACCTGTCTATGTGCAGTAGAACACACTGTATCAGAGAACAAATGCCAGTAATGGTTCTCCCTCAGTAAGCATGGAGTGTGTCGGTCCCAGACGCAATTTCAAAATGGCCACCGTGGTGTTTGCGCCACTATCTCAAGATATTTATCTCTAACAACCTCGATATTTATTCTTATTAAGTGATAAAGTGATGAGAAATTAGATACAGTATTTATAACGAAATAAGTGAAATATTTGTGAAATTATGAGATTGGTGAAATGGCTACTCATAATACAGTCGCACAGACCACACAAAAGCATGTCTTAATATATATGCCGAGCTTGGAAAAATAATAAGTGATAGTGAAATGTAGTGCAGTAGAGGCATGCATATGGGTAAGGTGAATTATAATGGATATATTGTTCTTATTTGAGACATATTCGTATGATATCGCCATTGTCATGCATATGCCAAGGTCTACCTCGTGAAAGTGGCAAGTGGAGATATTATTGTCCAAATTTCAGTTTTTGCAACTGGTCTATTTCTCTTCCTTAGTATGTGAACACTAATAATCTGCCATAAAAAATTACTTTCAAAAGATTTTGACTAAAAAACTAACAAATGTGCATAAACATTTTGGCGACTGCACGCCTAACCACCATTTATTTCTACCTTTTATTCTGTAACTCCATTACTTTTTACAATATATTTTTTTCTAATTACACCATTGTCTTTCTCATGATTTACTATTTCTTACCATGAGCATTTTATACTGACTGATGCAATGATGTGGGTACAGCACAAAGAGGAATCAACTGTAAACTCTCACTTCTCACATACTTGCCACAATGGCTTTTATTTACAGGTATTTATTTTTTTAGGGTTTCATGTGATTTCTCAGTCTTTTTTACATAGGAAGGCATCATTTAAATAAATATTTAACAATATCTTAGCTATAAATAGCGCTCGGGGAAAAAATATCTTCTCAGCGATTTCTGGTCATTCTGCAGTCTCCAAACAGAGCGAGTGACAGGCAATTCCTAGAGAGTTAAAACACGAGATACATTACTGTTACGGCAGTTTCTCAAAAGATAATTTAACAAGGAAAAATGTATCAGAGATATAGATAAGTAAAATAAAGATGACTATACTATAGAAATTTAGACATACCTTATGAGCATTCCATACTTTAACAGTAGTGTCTGAACTTGCTGATATTACTGAAAAAGAAAAATATATATGACTGACTATAAATAATAAAGAAATATTGTATATATATACAATATAAATAAATGAGACCTCATCAGAACCATATGCATTTTAAGTAAAGAACCAACACCTGCACTAACACTCTCAATGGGTGATTCCATTTTCCCTGTGTATGAATATTGAAGGATGCTTTATGCCAGCACCAAAAGCTGTATTTCAGTGTTTGGCCTTGAGGTAATCTGAGTACAGCATGCCCTGACAATTCGCGGATGACACCCTGGATGTACCCAAGAATGTCTAAGGGTAGTTTTAAAGTTGCTGGCATTTTCGCGGTCAGGACAGGGAGCCATTCGTTCTAGAGACAGTAATTTCTTTTACCCCCTGGTCAGCAATGTTATTCGCGGATTTGGCTATTCACGGCCATTTTGAGAGCCTAACCCCCGCGAATTTTAAGGGCATGCTGTCACTGCTTCATGGACTGTATTGTACAATGTAAATGCTGTGGTCTATTTACTACAATTTAATTTTTCCAGGGTCACAACATGCAATAGCAAAAAATGAGAGCAATACAGGGTACTTGTTATATATCAAGAGCAGTATTAAATCACACTATTGACGAACTATTGTATATTGTATGTTTGAAGTTATGGTAATGCTTGGTTAAAATGGTCTTGCTTAACCTGTATGTATTAGTACTGTACTAAAGTATACGGGAAGGAGAAGTAATGTCTTGTAGGTATAAGATGAAGTGAGTGAATGAGAGTAATGAGCCTGTGGGACTTTGCATACTACATAAGACTCTGACTCTTTTAGAGATTGTAATGTATAATCTGGGCTTTTAAAAATTTTCCTCCTACAAACACATTTTCTCATTTGCCATTATTTATTCATACTTTGAAAAGCGCAGCGGACAAGTGGATGCAGCGCTCGCCTCATGTTCCAGGGGTCGGTGGTTCGATTCGTGGGCACTCCCAGTTCACCCAACTGTATATCGGTACCTAAGTTTCCAACTTGGGGAAATGAATGTGGTCGAGACCAGTATTGGCCATGCTGCCTCCTTGTGTACCGAAGGCTTAGTTACAGTATGCTGTATCCACACTGTCCCTAATGGGCATTCAAGCCTATGGGATTCACTTTCACTCATTCTTAAGACTGTAAAAGATATGTTCTGCTATGGCATTTACAATATAATCTGAATGGTATAGATAGCACTGACAAGCCCAGAGTAAAATATAAGTTTGTACCACAGTATTATAACTTCTTTAAGACAATTTTTGAAATGTTGGTCCAAATCCACACAATTATCAGATTAGGAATTCTGGAACACTTTAACACTGTAGTATATGTTAAACAACTCCTTGTTTCACTTAAATCCTTGTATGCATGTACAGTCTCGTTCAAGATTCTTCGAAGACTGCTGGAGACAGCTAGCAACTCAAGGCCATTTGTTTACTGTATAGTACGTAGTATAATATAATACGAAACAACAAAGCCCAACCATTAATTAAGCAACACGGAACTAAGTAACCAATCAACGATAACCTTTTACATTCATTCATAATTTTTACTACATACTAAAGTAAACAAACGACCTTGAGTTGTCAGGTGTCTCCAGCAGTGTTCGAAGAATCTTGAACGAGACTGTACCTCACTGAAGAGGCTTAGATATGTAATCTTAACCCCATGTGATGATTTCTCACAAAAAATAATATTAAAAAGGAAGTAACAAGACAAAAATCACATTAATATAGGACAACTTACAATTTTTCCCCCCACAACAAAGCACAATGTCATTGACCCAATCTGTATGATGTTCCATAGACTGGATGTATGGGTCTTTCTGGTTTTTGCAATTCCATATCCGTATGATAGAGTCACGACCCGCTGAATACAGTCGTTGGAGGTATGGGTCATACTGTAGGGAATTGACGGACGATCGATGGAATTTCTCCACTTCATCCCGAATAACGTAAGAAATCTGCAAAAAAAAAAAGGGTAAAAGCTTATTGTGACCAAATCCAACATTATATAATTTAATCAAATGCATTTTTTTTAATGTAAAGTAATATCTCTGTCAGCCAGAATCCCTTTTAACCAAAACTCTCCAATAGGCGGAATTTAAATTTCCTCGGAAAATCGTTCCCAAAGCCGAAATTTTCCAGAAAATTACGGCTTTGGGAACGATTTTCCATGGGGGTACATTTTCTGGAAATTTCTGATAAAATTTTCCCGGTATCCAGAAAATTACACGGATGGGAAATTTTTTGGGGGGTGTTTGAGAGATGAAAATCAGGGGCATTTTCTGGAAATTACAATAAAATTTTTCTGGTACCTGGAAAAACCTGGGGATGGGGTTTTTTCCTGACTGTAAGAGACAAAATACAGTAATGCATCATTCTGGAAAATTCCGATACCCGGAAAAATTCTGGGGATGGGGGATAACTTTCCGGGTTCGAGATATGACATAATATGCAATTCCTGGAACTTCTGAGAAAATTTTCCGGGTATCCAATAAATTCCGGGGATAAGGGATTTTTTCCAGCTTTGAAAGTGTCGCCTCGTTAACGGATCTCTCATTCCCAGAAGTGCCACCAACTGTTCCAGAGATATTGCTCTTATTTATAGGATGGGGTTTTAAAGGCTGTCAAACTCTTAAGCTCTCTTGTATCCATAACTATTTAGAAATGTTTTCTGAAGGTTAAATCTAAAACTCTTGGCTGAGAAAAAATCAAACACAGATCTCTTCTAAATTTGTTTTACAAAATAATGGGAACAAATAACTCAAGTGAACCAGTGACGAAGTGTTCTAGTCCTTGTTTCTATCATACCTACCAGATGAATCCATGTCTTAATGACAGAAAAAGTGTTTATTAAGATTTGCTTAATTTTTAAGATAAGTACCAAAAGTAACACTTCCCAGTAGGATCAACTAAGGCAATTGTAAAACTGTATTCTCCTTTGAATGACATACTTCTGGTGAAGGACTTTTTAAATCTTTTTTGCTTAGTGTAATACTCCATAAATGTTTTAAATGAATATTCTTAACAGACTTTGGGATATTGATGTGAATAGCCAAAATGTTTTTATACCACAAGGTGCAATAACTATTGCAGTAAACCCCTTGACAATATGAAATCTACTAACTCCTCCTTATACATAACCTCAGGTGTTGTGCAGCATTCACTCCAATAATGGTTAACAAGAGCCATTACAGTACTGCAGAACTTTTGTTAAATAATTATATCAGATGTGGGTACTTAAACATCTTAAACAATAATTCCTGTCACTCACCCAAACATCTGCATGAGCCAAAAATATCCAGTTTGAACAGTATACAGTATTACATCAGCTCAAGTCTTCTTTGCCATTACAGAATGAATATTACACATACTTGAACCTTTTTCCTTGTGGAGTGGGTACTGTTTTGCCTGTGGCCTGCAATCATCGACATGGTGTCAACGTCTTGTCACCCTCCTCAGTCATGTGGCACCTGCTGTCATGCTTAACTCTGAAAAAAAGGTAAAAAGATAATTATATCACGAATGAAAACTGTTAATGAATTTCACATCTAGTTAGTCAACACTTGTAAAAAATATTTTTCCAATTGACCACTAAAATCTTATATTTCTTGAACAATAATCCAAAGTTGGGATTGACATCACAGGAGCATGTCTACTGAGAAACATCAAAGCATCATGAAGAAGAAAACAATTGAATGTGTGGATGGTACAACAGCAGAGTTTTTAAAGAACCTGGTAGAGAAAGTCATCAAAAAATTGGCTGAACTGTCCAAGGATACCTTTGAGAAGGGATAATTGATATAAGGACTGCATATAATGGAACCACAACAGAGGCTGAATATATTGGATTATGAAAATCATTGGGGAATTGTAATCTCACATGCATCCACGTTTGTGCTGAGAAGGTCAATTCCATGCAAGATGATGAAAACTAGTTACTGATTAAACCTCGAATTTGCACTGAATTACTTCAGGAAGTGATTTTAGGGATAAAACTAACTAAGCTGCTCCTGAAACTTTTTCTGGTAGAGTCCATATACATGCAACCCCTGTACAATGTAAGCATACATCTGGGGAGTTAAAATCCTCTAATCAGTAACCTGAGATGATATGTTGTTAACCCCACCTTCACTCACATTAAAATGGGGGATCAGGAGCAAAAGTCATCCACAAGAGACAGAAGGCCTTATGGTCATCATGCCTCGCCAATAGGCACACATCAAGCCAGAAATATTTATGCAATATTGTTTGGTACAAATACACAATTTGTTTCAGTTTCTAGCTGCATAACCCACTAAACTCTGGAGGAGCAAGGGACTCTGAGCGACCTGGCTATGTATTCTGGGAAAATAAAATTAAATCCAAATATTTCTGGGTTATGCCCTTCAAGTGGTTCTCGAAATTCAAAGCCATCTAAACAAGAGGGAGTAGGAGATACAATACCACCTAAAGTTCCAGGATCAATCAGACAAGCCCCCATGGTAGAATGAACTTTTATTTCCCATTATATAAAATCCATATATATTGGGAATACTTATATACAGTACTCTCTAACTCTCTCTGTTTTGTCATTCTTAAACCTTATGTCAAGTCATTAGTAGTTAAAGTCCTTTAAACAAAATTGGATCAAAATCTAATTAGAGACAAGCCACCTCTAGTGCCTGAATCATGTGCATATCATATAAGCCGACAAAACATGGAAGAATCCACAATCACAGGCATATACCATTCATTCCTATACCACCACCAAAATCCATCTCACAGACACTAACTGGCACCATATTACAACTAACAGAATCCCCACAATATCCAAATGAGAAATTATGAAACAGATGATGAAGATAGAATAGTGTAATCCCTAACCAATTTCTGATATAAAATCAGAAAAGGGAAAGGAAGAGGCTTCAGGTAATGCTGAAGTAGAAGAGGATATCAAATCTTCATCTGACAAATGACAGCTATTACGACTGTAATTTCATGAAAAGAATGAAGTTCCCAATCTATAATGGATATGGAAAACAGGAGGAAAACAAATTTATTTTCTCCAAACCATCACAACTCATGGAGAAGGCATCCACTCCACATGCAACTTCTTGTGAAATAAGAGTAAGATAAGTTGGAAGTTCCTAATTTTCCACCAATGCAAACAATCCCATAAAGGGAATGACCCTAGCTCATTTAAACTCCACTTGAAAATAATTTCTAAACCCTAAATAAAGAATTTGCTGGATTATCTAAAGTCCTGTCAACATGCTTTGCTGTGATAAAACATGATCATATGTGGATAATCTAGGACCACATTTCTCATGAGTCCATTTATAATCACTTCATGGAAAATACAAGTGAGGGAAACACATCACATTCCTCCCGACCAAATATGGCTCTTACCACCTAATTGTTGACTACTTTTATTTTATATACCTTTATCACTAAAAATAGCTTTCCCATTGCCTAATAAGTTATTTCCATAATCTTCTAGACTTTGGGATACACGGGGTCTCCAACGTACGAACGTCCGACTTACGAACACCCGTCGACACGAACAGGGTTAAACTTGAAATTTACAGTGTCTGTATTTTATTTACCTGATGACTTATTTTTTACTTTCACTTACTGTATTTTGTAATTCTATTTCTTCTTTAGTCTTAAATTAAGTGATTTTAGATGTATATAAAGACTTAGGCTATGATATAGGTCTAGTGGGATTTTAAATATCGTTCTGTAAGTACGGTATGCACATAGCATGTGTTCCGACTTGTGTACAAATCCCACTTAAGAACATCCTCTTGAAAGGAACCCGTTCATAACCCGGGGACCCCCTTATACTGCTTCGAAATTTTTTTTATCATTCCCATTAGAGTGATCCTAATAGGATCACTTAGATTTGTTCAGGATGGCACCACATTGCCACTTGTACCAGTATTCTTTGCTTTTGGCTAGCACTAGCTTAAGTGGTTTAACTCAATTTTTAAGAAGTGCAGTAAGATCAAACAGTGGGGACTACTGCCTGGAAAGATATTGAAAGCATAATGTATTGTCCACTGGTAGACCCTGCTGCCAAATAGCATCACAAAAATTTTGACCAATTTCCAGGTTGCTTCTCAGGTTTTGTGTAGTGTGGCAGCCCTGTGTTTGTTTACATTCGACAGAAGAAAACCAGCAATAGTAAACATACTATGGAATCAAATTAAAACTATTAAAACAAATATCCCAAAGGTAATGATTTGTGGAATGTTTATATGAGGAGCCCCTGTAATCTCACGAGTGAAGGGGACTGTATCTATACACAATTTCTTTTAACTTTTAATAAAATACAATAGTAGTTCTGTTTTGACTCCGGAAAATTGCCGGTAGCTGCAATTTCAAGACCAACACATCGTTCTGGAGAAATTAGCTGCCGGCAGATGAAACTCCTGTCACTAGCCCTGGAAAACCAGCCACTAATACAGTACTAGCTGAAACTGAAAAATGCAGGTACGAGTGCCTGTTGATGTAGATTTTCAGGGATATACGTTTATTGTTTGGCAACTCTCCTGGGCCATGCTCATGTAAATAAAATGAAGGTATTTAGCAACTTGAGAAAATATTATTACATAATAATAACTAAGATAATTTTATTACAAAAATCTTAATTTGAGGGGACCGATATGATAATTCTCATCTGGAAATCTGGGCAGAGCAATACTGCCCTAAGTGCTAAGATGACATGGCATCAAAATAGTCGTATCCTTCAGATGCATGACCCCAGGTCGACCTAGAGCTTGTGATTTAGGGGTGAGTTTGAAGGGTGAAGGGAGTCCCAAAAGAAAGTCAGTTAAGGGCCTCCAAAAGGCTAGGGCCAGCCCTGTCGATTTTAATCAGAGAGACGGTGGTACAGTATCTCTATCTATCAATCTTTTGAAAAGCAATATCCACAAGTCATGGTGTAAACTTTACACTGTAAAGGGAGTCTATGAATCCTGGGTCAAGTTGTGAGGAATTCTACAGAAGAAATATTGGTGAACTGGAAAACTTAATTGTTGACTTTTGTTGACATAAACAAAGGGAAAGGCTGGGGTGATTACTTGTCTGCATTGTCACTAATTAATTAAATATATAATTATATTTTAACTCACCTGTGACAATTAGATAACTGGCGTTGCCAAAAAGATGATTTCCACGGTCGTCCCTGTTTGATCACCATGAACACTAGAAGGTATACTTGTCACGTCTCTGGGTATCTGTGAGAGAAATACAATTATTCACATCAATGCATTCACAAAATGCTGTAATCATATACAAGTTTAGATTCCTGATTCATAAATTGGAAAAAATTTAAATAATATATTACCAAACAGCCAATATTCATTTCCAAGACATTCACTTAAAATAAGTAAATGTAGCTAAATAATTAACTGCCATTTACAAAAAGCAAACAATACAGTATCAGAAACAGGTACAGCTGGCATCAGGGTTGCCTGATTCAAACCAAACACAAAAGTTTTTTATTGTTATTTATATTTCCATCACCACTCATACTAAAAGGACTGTTATTATTCAATTTTAAAGCCATGACCAAGCATATATAGTAGATACAACTTGCAGTACTGCCCTTCATAATAAGGTTAACTTCTTAACACTACATCTTGAAGTGCTGTTCCCAAACAAAAATTAATTCCCAAGTATTTTAATAATCCTACCGGCCCTACTCCTACCTCCTGCTGTGTCAAATACAGTATGTTCAGCTCCTACTCTGTTTTTCACAACTGGCATTGTTCTAGACCTTTTTAGTAATTTAGTGTGGTCTGTCACCTTTCTTTTAACATGTAATAGAGATTGTTTATAAAGATACAAACCTTGTACAGTAAACCCTCACTTTACGCGGTTAATTTAACCCACGGCAGCCCGCGTAAAGTGAGAAACGCGTAAAGTGAACAACATAACATATGGGATTAATTGAAATAGAGACCGGGCCGACCCCCAAACTCCACTTTTTCCCGACACAATACGTACGTTTTACTAAAAATAACATCTAAACTTTATGATGGTATTCACACACACATAATATAAAAGGGAACAATCAATAAGAGAAAAATATACTGAAGGTCAGGTTAGAAAAAAACAAGGTTGGGGTTAACACTTACGTTAGTAGAAGAGATGGGTCGGCGTAGGGAAATGGAGGCTGGTTCCGAGGCAGAGGGCAGGCTACTGGCCCTCAGGTGAGTCTTCATCGCTGTCATCCACACTTACTAGTGCCTCCCTGACAAATCCCTCAAAGTCATCATCAATGTCTCTGTCACTATCACTGGCTTGGGCTGGCTGTGGTGGGTTGCGGGCGAAGAACTCAGTTATGCTTTGCTGACGGCTGGTGTTTATGTTGTCGTGATAAACCTTGATGTAGGGCTCCATAGTCTGCAACAGCTGGGTAGTGAAGATTTCATACCTGTTAGCGTCAGGGTCGTCGGAAAGGAGGAGCTTGACTTTCTCAATACACTCGATGGCACCCATTATATTACTATGGGATAACTGGCGTTCTTCTTGGGATGACGCACCACCTGCCTCTTCGCTGACGTCATCATCATCTACCATCTCGTCGGTAGTCACATCAGAATCCCTTATCACCTCCAGGATGTCGTCGTTGGTGGTCTCGGAGAAGCCTGCAGCTGTAACACTCTGCGCAGCTTCTCTGGCAAGGTCCACTGCTACTGCAACAGTCTGAACCTCACCAGTCACAGATTTACTCTGCCTAACACCCGGAATACCTTAAAACACGTCTCAATGTGTGACGAACAGTTGCTACAGACAGCTGATCCCATGCCTCCACCAAGAAGTCCACAGCTTTCTTGACGTTGAATGTTCTCCAAAATTGTCTCACAAGTACTTCTTGCTCTGCCAACTGTTGATCCTCGTCGTCTTCGCTCTTGCTATCGGTGTTGGTGTCACTCAGGTTACGCAACTCTTCCTTGATGTTGGTGTAGTCGTTCAGGAGCTTGAATTTCTAGGCAGAGAATACAGCTTTTACATTACAGATCAATTCTTGGTCCATGGGCTGTATTATAGACGTAGTGTTGGGAGGAAGGAAGACCACTTTTACGTTGGGGTGACGATCTAACAGTAGGGGCGAGTGTCCTGGTGCGTTGTCAAGCAGCAACAAAATCTTGAATGGAACATTCTGTTGCTCACAGAATTTCTTCACATTGGGAACGAAAGTCATCAAACCAGGAGAGGGACAGTGTAGAGAAAATCCACGCCTTACGTGCGGTCAGCCAGTGGACATTTAGCTTGGTCATGTCCATGCTCTTGTAGGCGTGCGGCTTGCGTGCTGTGTGGATCACCGATAACTTGAGCTTACAGGTACCGGAGGCATTGGTGATAAACAGGACGGTGATGCGCTCCTTCTGCAACTTCCGGCCCCGACACTTGTTGGCATTCTTCACAACGAAGGTCTTGGAAGGTAGCTTTTTCCAAAAAAGACCAGATTCGTCCATGTTAAACACCTGGTCGTCGGTGTACTGTCCTTCCTCCATAATCTCACGTAAAAACGGAGGAAATTCCCTAGCCGCAACACGGTCAGCACTAGCTTCTTCACCACCAATGTTGATATTGGTGATCTTGTGCCTCTTCTTAAACCTCTGTAACCACCCAGAGGAAGCACTAAAGGGTTTGGGCTCTGCAATTCCCATCTTTCGTGACACTGCAGCATACAGTTCACGTGCGTACTCCTTAACTGAGCGTGTGTCCACCGCCATGTTACGTCGCGCCTGACGAACCAAGTAGCTCACAAGTAATTTTTCCGTCTTGAGAAGCACCTGGTTGTGGAAATACTTGATCATAGAAGCACCTGTAGACTTTGTGATGTTCATGTGCTCCTTTATCTTGGCCGCATCCTTCTTAATTGTCCTGATCGTATACTCGTTAACACCATGCTGGCGCGCAAGATCAACCTGTCTTGTTCCTATCTCCAACTCTTGTATGATCTTATATTTAATTTCGTAGCTAAAGGAACGTCGTGTCTTCTTTGGCTTAGGGCGGCTGGGTCCAGGTAATGCAAGGTTTCTTTGTGGTGGTGGTCCGGTGGAAGCCATTCTTATGGAACAATGGATACCAATATACTACACGGTGTAGCCGGGAGGGGTGTAACTGACGCGGGTAGATCAAGGGGCTTGAACGCTCCCGCGGCGGGGCACGTCATAGTACTACATTAAACCAATCACAGCTAGCGGGAAGGGAGGTAAGGATGCTTTGTCCAATCACAGTCCGATACGTCATATGACGTCACCGATAACGCAACAAAGACATACACTGCGCAACCTACTCGCGCCGCTTACACAACATGGCGGATGGCGGGAGGTTTGGATCCAAAAATGGCGCGGCGCGAGAGGACCGCCAGCCGCTCTCCACGTAAAAGGGTACACACACCGCGGAAAGTGAGCATTCCGTGTTTGGCAGGGTACCGCGTAAACGTGGAAACGCGTAAAGTGAAACCGCGTAAAGCAAGGGTTTACTGTATTATCATTAATAAAAATTGTCAGCTATATAATATAATTTTCTGTGGCATGACAATATTTATTTTAAGAAAGGAAAATATAAAACTCTATAAAAGAACAAATCATAAGTCCTTTAAATAAATTATAATTTATTAGAAAAATACAAAACAAAATATGTACTGTAAATGTACAGGGTTTTCTTGTATTTTGGGGCAATGAAAATGATACTGTACTGGTACCTGCCAGTTGGAACAGAATTCCACACTGTAAAAGTTTAATCTAGTTTTACTTTAAATTTATGAAAACCAACATAATAGCATGCAAAAAATTGGTCTTTTAAAAAAATCCCAGTGTTTTGGGGTAAAAAAAAAGTGTGGGGGGTCCCAACCCTGATTGGCATTATACTAAATGATATAATACTGTATCTGAATCTCCTAGAGGCAGTAGGTAGTATTTTTTTCATGAATGAATCACTCTGACCCAACGAATCAGTGATTCATTCATGAAAAAATACTACAGTACCTACTACCTCCAGGAGATGTCAGCTGTCTGCATAAGTCACTTTTCTCATTTCCTATGATGCCAACTGTACATTGAGAAAAATTTCTCTGTTGTTAAGCCTTGCGCCTCCTACTGCTCAGTGACACATGCAGAAATCCTTTATTATGGCAGACAATCATAAAACTTTCAGTAAATATTTAGGAAAGTAGAGGCAAGGGATCAAGGAGTTGTGGATTACCTGCTGTAAAACATTTGACATAGAGAACAAATTGCAGTAATGTATTTAGCAAATATCAAAGCTCTAGTTCCATTTTTTTAAAGATTTAATTCCAAGTAAAATCTGAACTGACCATCACTCACTCTTACAATGTTTTCCATGTTCCATATCTTTTGCCTAACCTGCACATCATCTTCCTTCTGTTAGTCTGTTTTCTTGGTCACCTCATACACTGTCCTCTGATGATGGTTTTGAACACATTAAACAGGTGGTGGCCCTAAAGTTAAACATTACAGAAAAAATATATATATATTACTTGACGACCGTGGTGTGTCCTTAACACCAAATTTCTCATTAGAAGAAAAAGATTTCTTTAAAAAGTCTTACCCCATGAAAATGACAAAAACAGATGAGGATATGCATTTTGAGTAATACATATGTGCATCACTTTACTACTGTTTCAAGACTGGGAGGCAATACCAGTAAGGTCTCTTTGTACTTTTTATCTAAAATCTACATATTTAAAGGGAACATTCGAAGGAATTGTTGTTTGAACTAAATTGCTAAAATCGTAAAGAGCTTTTACTCCTGTATCTTCTTTTGAGAAATTTTCTCAAATTGGTGCTAAGAGCATGCCACAATTGTCGACTACAGGGTATTATAGAAAAAAAAGATAATAAAGGGGCATTCATTCTTTAAACCTTTAGTAATATGTGACGAGAGTGGTCCAGCCTTAGCAGCTACCTGGAAAAATTCTTCCATAGAAGATAAAAGCTTTCTTACCTCATAAATACACAAAAATGCACAAGTATATTTTGCATCACTTCACTTTCAAGATTTTTTTTTCTTTTTTTTTTACATGTGGAGCCATGTGTACATATGGTATACCCTTTTCGGATCCGTCGATGGTTACTTTCAGGTAAGAGATTATTGCTGTTGTTCTTATTCCTGAAGTTTTTTTTTTCAGGATAGTAATCAAATAGCAACTCCAATCTTTTTTCCTTTTTTCATCCAACACAAAAAAATTAAAAACATTCTGCACCTAACAACAAAATATTCTTACAACCTATATTTTTTGGTTCACAAAATGAGAACACTAACCTGTCAGAGCTAAATTTATACTAAAACACTAGTTACCAGTATTTCTTAAACATGGAACTGGTGGCAAGATAACGTTTGAATGTCTTCCTCTGCCCATTTTGCATATTTTGATTGTTTTTAGAGCTACCGCTACCTCCAGAAGGAGTTGTTCAATTTTTTAGTTTTTTCATAAATATTCTTTTCATTATAGTAAGAATTTTAAAAGAGGCGACATTTACTAGAACTTAATAGAACCTGACCTAACCAACCAAAGAAAACTACCTAACCTTTCCGAAATTCCTAGCCATAGGGTTCTGCCCTATTAAACAAAAAGTACTGATTTTGATATCTGTTACCAACGAAACCAATGAAAGCAACTTTCTTGAAGCTTCATGGTGTAATTTTACGTTTTTTGTGGATGTGAGAGTACGTTTGGACTGAGCTGGCCGGTTGTAAGCAAAGAGGGCAGAAGACAACACAAGCTGACTAAGCTAACTTTTTGGAGGAGCATTTATGGTAAATAATTAATTTCTTCACATACAAAGCACACAGACACATCACTTTCATGTCATATGATAGTTTTTCACCGCCTTTTAACCAGCAACTTCCCTCATCCTTCATGCCCTGCTCACTACAGCTGTTGTATAATCATTGATATAAGAAAACAAAAAATAAATATAATAATAAATGAAAATATAAAGTTGTTGCTAAACTACTTACAATCACCAAAACAACAAGTAAAAAACAAAGGAAGTCCATAAAAGTTTTCTGATGGAAGCGGTTTTCTCATAAATTACCAAGAAAACCTTTATCTTCGATGGAGAAATTTCATCAGGTAGTTGCTAAGACCGGGCCACTCTCAAGTATTACTCAACCTTTTACAAACTCCATTCTCAGGTAACTCATCACTCAACACTGCACTAGAACAAATTTAAGCCTGAGATAGATTGAATGGTATAAACCTAACCTAACCTAACCCAACCACCAAGGTCCAGTTTCTCTGGTGAGTGAGGACCTGAAAGTCAAGTTCATCATTCAAGTACTAGTATCTTTTAACTACTGTTGGATTACTTCAGTAGCCACTAAATATTTAAGGCCTTCACTTTCAATATTATCAGTTGCTCTATATGTTAATTAGAATACTTAAACGAGTGATTCACAACTGGATTTTCACATTCTTTATAAACCTGACAGTATTCCGGAAGGTATATTTACGAGTAGTTTATGATTTTAATAGGATTTTTGGAGGACCTAGTTTAACTGTTACCGGGTTAACATTAAGTAGCAGTATCAGTGGTGACTACTGACCATTAACTTAGATACAGTTACAGTAAGTATATTTTCAAAGTATTAGAAATATAATTCTCATTTATAATCATCATAAAGCTCATACTCACTTCTTAACGTCGATAAACTGTCAGTAAGTCAAGAGTTGAGTTAGCAATAGTTCTTGTTTGTTTACCATGATAGCCCAAGGGGAGACAGCAGAGGAGAGAGTGGCGTAAGACCTTCACTAGTACTTCCCTATGATATACTTGATGGAAATATTTATAATAACTAAAAATATTCATGTAATAAGGGCTCAATTAAAGTGTTATGCAATAAACTGAAATTTTATTGTTTAGTGATACTGTATATTGATAATTTGATGTACTTCATTTATAAATCATTCAAATAAGAATCATGACAAAAATAATGAATTGGTGTATCATTTAAGTTTACACTACTTTTGATACATTACGTCTTTAATTTTTTTATAGATATGTAAGAACACTTTCGATATCAAAGGTCCTGATTAAAGATATGGAGGTTCCTATTACGTTGCACTAGCTGGTAGGTGAACTATTCCCACACACAATCTGGATTCGTCTGAAATGGGATTCGCGAGGTTAATATGAAGTGTGTTGTGTATGTTCAGGAAAGTCTTCATTTATGTATTTTTTTGTGTATGTGTAAGATCAGGGGCCGATCCGCGTATATAAAGAGAGGAGGTTTCAAGAAGTTGTGGGTGGGGGTACTATTGTGGGCAAAAGTTCACTCCCTCCAAAACTGAAGCAGTATCGACCCCAAATGAAACAAAACAGCACACCCGCAATCAGTCAGGGTAAGTCAGTTCGGAGATTGTGACTCAGTTCCACCACAGGGAGCGAACTTTTGTCCACGATAGTATACATGGCGAGCACAGGAGCCCATCCATCTTGGGGTGAGGTTTTTTGGGCGTTGTAATCCCCCAGAAAATGTTTAGAAAACTGACCAATATCATGGGTATATTGTGGCCATATTGAAGCCATGTCCACTTGATATTAAGTGATATTCTGAGTCAATAGTCATCACTTTTACTATACAAAAATGCCTGAATCCAATACTGCATTAAAGAAAAAAGAATAGTATTGGAATTTCCTGATGAAAAGGGTGTCCGGACTCCCCACGTTCCCCCTGGATCCGCCCCTGAAAATTGAAATGTGATCCATTTTTTTGCCGATTTTTTCTTCAGCAAACCTACCTATCCTTTTGGATATACTGAAATAATATATAAGCTGATAAGTGGCGGAAAATATATAAAATAATAACTTTTTAGGTGGCATTGGCCCTTCCTAAACCGAATAAAATCGCCTGATGTCAGCCAAAATAAAATACTGTCAACAGAAGTCCACTACTAATCCAATTGTCCGCTAAATTACAGTCACCCAAAAAGTCCTGTCGCGAACCACGATTCAGACTCGTGAACCTGAAGCAGTAGACACTGATACATTATTCTGTCCATAAATGCTTCGGATTCAAGAGTGAATCTCGGGGGTCATGGTTCACGACAGGACTTTTTGGGTGACTGTACCTTTGAGAGTTTACCGAGGGAGGAAGGTGGGGGGGGGGCATTCTATTATAAATAAATAAATACATTTATTTATTTATTAATTTATTGCGACTGGTCAGTTTTTTATACATTCAAACTTTAAAGTCTTGGATTTGCTACTGTTCAAAATAAACCAAAGTAGGTAAACTCTTGTGTTGGATCAGGGAAGCCATGAAGCACATACCTGAATGTGAAGGTTTAGTCTGAACACCACCAAAATATATCGTAAACAGTCAGACTATCTCTCCTACACCTTACAGTACCGTGGGTGATGAGAAATGACGGTGTCACGATTTATTTTAATTGCGAAAGAGTGTCGAGTACGGTGTAATTTATTATACCGTACAAGTTTGTGTGAAGCAGCAGTAAAACAGTGGAGAACACCCTGTAGGAGCCAGCACCGTCAACCTCCTCCAAGTTATCATCGGTCTCCAACTTCAAGAAATAACTCTCGCTTAATATTAGAACATGAATATGCTGTTCCAAAAGATACTATACTGTTTAGATATGAAAATTCAAGGTTCTTCAAGTTGATGAACATGTTTGCAATATCTCAGTTTTTCTTCTGGTTGTACCTGAGCCACTTTGCGTTTACTACAATGAGAAATGTTCCTGTACGCACAGAAGAAGGTGATAAAACGTTACCGTGGTGGAGAAGAATAAATTTTGGGGAGTATAAAAATGGCATCGCAATTGGAAGCTTCTTCATAGGTAAAAAAATATTGTTCCAGATATGAACACATAGGTAGAGCACCATATATTTAGTAATACAGTATTCTATATGTATTTAAAGGTAATTGTTTATGGTAATTACTTGATTTTAACATGCACTTACCAGAGGAATTTTTTGGGTAAATTTTTAGAAGCTGCCAACACCTACATATATACTGGACTGATTACCACTGAGTCTTCAAAAGGGAGAAAGAAAAAACGAAACATATTTATTCTATCATGTTTCTGTCGGATTTTTTTTTTGTATTTTAACTGATAAAATTAACAACAATATTACTTGTTGAAAGTGGGCAGGGCTTTGAAGTAGAGGCAAAATGTGGGGTAAAATTAAAAAAAAAATCACTAAACAAACTTTTGAAAACCTGACCTTACCTTTAAAAATACTAAAACTATAGAAACTTTACCCTATTCATGTTTTCGGTGTTTAGAAGGTGTTGGCAATTTCTAAATATTAACCATTTTTTTTTATTGAAGATTTTGGATTTTTTTTACTTTGTGACAATTAAAGTAATTTTAAACAATTATTTGTGTCTAGGAGGCAATGTCAAGTGTTCCCCATGTCTGTTTCAACAGTTATTTTCTTAGAAGTTATATTTTTCTTTTAGAATAATATAAAATAATCACGAAAACTGTAGCTAGTATTTTAGGTTAAGTTCGGTAGGGTAGTTTGGCTCATTGATAATGGTGGAGGAGACATTTAGCACCAGAAGGACTTAGTGGAATTGCACCAAATTTTCAGATGTTGTTTGGATGATACTAAGAAAGAAAATCGAAATGACAATGCATAGAACTTATTAGAACCTTGCCTAACCTTACTTAATTTACCTAACCTTGCTTACCTCACCTAACTTCCTAACCTGTGCTTTGTTGTTTCGATATTCTTACTATCATCCAAACAACGTCTCTAGAAAAAATGAACAAATTCAATCTTGTTAAATCATAATAAACAGCCCGATTGGATCATCATTCATTTCTTGACATGTAAACAAAGACTGTGGATGCTCCCGTAGTACTTACCTTTATTTACACACCCAAGCTAAATATTTTTGACTAATTTATATTGAAGAGCATGAATTTCAATTCTTGTACAGTACTTTTGTTTTTCAGGTTTTTTCCCTCAAAAGGACCACGTCCATCTACTGCCATTTTTGCTGTTTCAGGGGATTTTAACTTAAAATGCTTAACAATATCTGAACACTTCCAGCAAACTTCCATGTGAATGCCTCCAGCGACTGCAACATTACAAGTACTGTATATACTGTAGATCTATTGAGATGGGATAACATGAACCTGTAGCGTAATGATGGTTTTTGTGTTCACACTCAGGATGGGATGGAGGAAGGAAACTCACAATGCGCTTTCTGTATATATATTGTTGTACAGTGCAGTGCTTAGGAGTGACTAGGTGAGGAGAAGCTTGCTCAAAGGTCCTGTAGGGCGAGGAGGTTTCTGAGGAAGCTGGGTGGTGAGGAGCTGTGAGAGATGTTGCTGGGCCGTTAGCCGAGTGTATAATGGTCTCCCTGGCCAGGCATGGCCGTATTTATACAATTTACGAGGATCAGGATTTGGGATGAGCGTAGCGAGAGAGCCAATCACAGCGGCTTAAGCGTAAGGTGTGAAACGCTCTGATCCTGAGCTGGAGGTTGAAGGTCGAGACTAGGTCGGCGATCGTACCCCTACGTCCACTGCATAGACCTAGTCTCTCGGCGTAGCTGGCTGTACACTGATTGGCTGGTAGGCGCGCAGCCGGAGCTCAGTTGGGAGTTGTAGGGGAGAGGAGCCACTACAAACCAACCAACCCTAACCTAATCTCATTTTGATGTAATATTTTTATTTAGGATAGGTTAGGTGTTGGTTGGTAGATATGTTGATTGACAGTTGGGACACTTGATGGAAAACAGATATGGTCCATTATATATACAGTAATTAACATAAGAACATAAGAAAATAAGGAGTCTACAATAGGCCGGTTGGCCTGTGCATGGCAGCTCCTGTCGAGAGTTACTACCACTCTCTATCATCCATGAATCTATCTAGCCTCCTTTTGAAACTTTCCAGAGTTCCCGCACTTACTACAAAGTTGCTAAGCTTGTTCCACTCGTCCACCACCCTGTTTGTGAACCAGTTTCTTCCTATCTCCCTCCTAAACCTAAACTTATCCAACTTGAATCCGTTGCTCCGAGTCCTATCCTGCTCGGATATTATAAGAACTTTATCTATATCCCCTTTATTGATTCCTTTCACCCACTTAAATACTTCTATCATATCTCCCCGCACTCTTCGTCTTTTTAGGGAATGCAAGTTAAGTTTCTTTAACCTATCCTGATATGGAAGGTTTCTAAGTCCCGGAATCATTTTTGTCATTCTTCGCTGTACCGACTCTAGTGAATTTATATCCATTCTATAATAGGGGCACCAGAACTGAACCGCATAATCGAGGTGCGGCCTGACTAGCGCAAGATATAGTTGCAATAAGACCTCTGCACTCTTGTTACTTACACTTCTAGATATAAAACCCAATACTCTGTTTGCCTTATTTCGAACATTAACGCACTGTTTTCTAGGCCGTAGGTCCGGGCTTACAAGTACCCCTAGGTCTCTTTCACAAGTCGACTGCTCTAGGTTGATGTTGTTAAGGCTGTATACATTATAAGTATTTGTTCTTCCAATATTAAGTACGCTGCACTTGCTGGTGTTGAATTTCATTTGCCATTTTTCAGACCACCCCTGCAGTTTATTTAGATCCTCCTGTAATGCATTTGCATCCTGCCCTGAATTAATTTGCCGCCCTATTTTGGTGTCATCCAAACTTGCTTATGTCACTGCTGATCCCAGTATCTAGATCGTTTATGTAGATTATGAACAAGAGTGGGCCTAGTACTGACCCCTGGGGAACCCCACTGGTTACACGGCCCCACTCAGATTTAACACCATCTACGCTGACCCTCTGCGTTTTATCGGTGAGCCATGATTTTATCCAATTTAAAACTTTCCCCTCGATACCATGAGCCTTAATTTTTCTCAGAAGCCTCTGATGCGGTACTCTGTCAAATGCTTTGCTAAAGTCTAAGTAAATAACATCGTAATTTTCGTCATTATCTACCACCTCGAAGACTTTCCTAAAAAACGTTAGCAGATTTGTTAGACAATATTTTCCCTTTGTAAACCCATGTTGAGAGTCGTAGATTAATTTGCTTTTCTCTAGATGCGATCGGATGCTATCTGCTATAATTGATTCAAGAAATTTCCCTACTACTGACGTCAAACTGATCGGCCGGTAATTTGATGCTGATGCTCTGTCTCCCTTTTTGAATATGGGTACTACATTTGCCTGTTTCCACAAGTCTGGCACAACCCCAGTGTCTAATGATTTTGTAAATAAGTTTACGAGGGGTCCGCTAATCTGTTCCCTACACTCTTTCAAGACTCGAGGGAAAATTTCATCCGGCCCTGGGGATTTTGATTTCTTCAGTTTATTTATTTTCTTAAGAACATCCTCTTTTCTGATAGTGATATTCTTTAATTTCTCTTCTTCCTTTCCTTTAAATATCAGTTCCACCTCTGGAATTTCATTGCAAATTTCTTCTGTGAAAACTGATAAGAAGTAGCTGTTCAATGCTTTGCTTATTTCTTCACTGCCATTTATCACTTCTCCCCTCCCTGACTTTAAAGGCCCAACTTTGTCCTTGACCATTGTCCTATATACCTGGAAAAATCCCTTGGGATTCGCCTTGGATTCTCTTGCTATTTTGATTTCATAGTCTCTCTTTGCTTTCCTTACATTTTTCTTAACATTCCTAGATAGTTCGTTATACCTATTTCTGAGCTGCCCCTCCCCTCCCTTTAATTTCTTATATATTCCTTTCTTTATTCCTATGTCATGTTTAAGTTTTCTGGTCATCCACCTTGGCTCATTCTTATTTGACCTGTACTGTACTGTACTGTATATATTGTATGAGGAGAAAATTACGGAAAAACAACATTTTACTAATTGCAATTCCTCCACTTGATTTGTGGTTTTGAAGAGATTAGAATTTGTTTATTTTTTTTATTTTACTTATTTATTTTTTTTGGTACTGTACTGTACAATAGCAGATGTAAGTTTGTGGTTTAGCTTTACAGGTAAAGGTCCTTATTACCTTGAATTTTTAGGAGAAATGTTGTGGCAGCTACCAAGCAGAGAGGTACTACCACCTGGAAAGATATTGGAAGCATAATGTGTTGTCTATGGTAGACCCTGCTGCCATATGGCATCACGAAAATTGTGACCAAGTCCCAGGTTGCTGATCTGACTTTCTGCCTCATTTACACACAATTGCAGGGTCTCAATTGTTTCTCTTACGATTGACAACACAACATACTGTACATACAGTATATTGTTTCTCACTTTTGACCTTTTTTCATTTTTGTATTTCTTTATGGTTCTTTATTATTATTATTATTATTATTATTATTATTATTATTATTATTATTATTATTATTATTATTATTATTATTATTATTATTATTATTATTACTACTATTACTATTACATTTTTGCCCCCCAGGCCCCCAATGTGGGTCAGTGACCTGTGCCCGGGTGGGCTAATCCCTGTAAAAAAAAAAGTCCATTGTACTTTACTTTACTGTTCTTGCATACCTAAACTAAATATTTAGGTATTTTGGGTGCAATTAGCTCCTTTTTCCTGCAAATTTGATCTATCCTTCTGCATCATATTGGTATTTTCCCACAGGACCTATTACAGGTACTCCAAATAATGCACAGAAATCACAGGGGCATACTAATCTACCTAATAGTTCTCTCATTGAGTCACCGTTGTTGATTTGCACTTACAACAGCTTATATTTCTCTGATGGAAATATATTGTAATTTAATTAATTTTACAGTCCTAAATTTAACAAAGAGGTTGACTATTGTAAATTTAGGGACTTAAACAAATAAGCAATGCTTGGTCTGAGTGTAACCCCAAGGTTAGGGGTGGGTGGTTCATAGTGCCATGTGACCTGGGTAATGACGGTTCACAAACATGGAATTTCAATCTTTTGTCATTGGATGTTGGTGGGCGTCTAATTTAAATATGGCTCTTCCTTCACTTGAAAATAAATTTATTATAAGTCAAAGTTTCTAAATGCCTTACTGCCTTATGTTGATCTTAGAAGTTAATGAATCGTTTACAATCGGTCTGCAAAAATGAATTATTGATCATGGTCTGTGATGATTTGAAAACACAAAAGTTCTTCAATTTACCACTTGTAAGTGAGAGTGGAGGTGTTTTGTTAGATAACCTTAATTTATTATGCTCTTGTTTCATTAAAACTTCAGTTAGAGTTGAACTGTTGCTGTGTTCGATTGATTGACTCATTTTAAAGGATTTCCAGGAAGAATACCTGGGAATTTGAAAGTTTTTTTTATGAATTAAGATGGGAAAAGCATCATGGTAACTCAGTCATAAATGGAAAGAACTTAGAAATCTTGTTTTGTTTGTGGGTAAAGTGTTTAGGAAAATATAATGTAGCTTTCTTAACCTGCTACTTTCAGGTGAGACTATTACATGTTTTGAAATCTAATCTAGTTTGTGCAGGGTTGTGGGTTTTGATAATAGGGATGTCACGACTTGGAGCTTCCATATTTCTGGCGTTATAGGTATAATTTTTCTGTTTAATGAACCTATTTACATTCTGTGGACATGAAACCTTTGGGACAGTGCATCCTTGTTGGAGGTCATTGATGGCAACCATAGTGAGCTCATCTCTCAGAGGGGACCTAAGTAGCTGCTGCTTAGCTGCCTCAAGGATTATGTGGCCACAGGGAGCTTGAGGTTTGTCCTCTCTTTTTCTAGAACCAGCTTTAATTATTTTTTTTGGGGATTACCCCACCCGGGCACAGGTCACTGACCCACATCGGGGCCTGGGGGGCGAAAATGTAATCATAATAATACTGTAATAATAATATTAATAATAATACATAGTACAGTAAATAAAATTAAAAATTATAATAATAATAACAAAGAACCAAAAAGAAATACAAAAATTTAAAAAAATCAAAAGTGAGAAACATTATACAGTATGTATGTTGTGTTGTCAATAGTAAGAGAAACAATTGAGACCCTGCAATTGTGTGTAGAAAGTCAGATCAGCAACCTGAGACTTGGTCACAATTTTCGTGTTGCCATATGGCAACAGGGTCTACCATTAGACACGTTATGCTTCCCATATCTTCCACTTAAGTGGATTCCTCACATATCAGATCATTGGATGGTCAGGCTTGTTGAATATCTAGGGGGATTTGACAAGCTTGCTTTATTTTACAATTACAGTGCAGGGGGCCCCCCAAATTTGCGGGGGTTAGGTTCTCAAAATGGCTGCGAATCGCCAAATCCGTGGAGCGGGGGTGGGGGGGGGGTACTTTGGTACATTTTTACTTCTGTACAGTACAAAGAAATATATTCACTTTATGTGTTTGCCCTTAGGACAATTATTTCTTTTACCTGTAGTATTGTATGTGTGTGTGTGTGTGTGTGTTTGTGTTACAAAACACGTACAAATAAATAATAATTGGAAAATCCTCTCACAAATAATCAGAAACAAATTTATTAAAAATGTGACATTCTACCCTCAAGTCCGTGCTCTATTAGTGAAGTACTGTAATAGAGAATGGACTCCAGGGTAGACTTGTCACATTTTTAATAAATTTGTTTCTGATTATTTGTGAGAGGATTTTCCAATTATTATTTATTTGTATGTGTTTTGTGTGTGTGTGTGTCTACACACACACACATATTTACAATACAGGTAAACAAATTTACTGTCTCTAGAATGAATGGCTCCCTGTCCCAGCCGCAAAAATGCCGTCAACTTTAAAACTACCCACAGACATTCTTGGGTACATCCAGGGTGTCGTCTGCAAATAACCGAGAATCGTGAAGTAAAAATCCTCGAACTTGGAGGGGCCCCTCTACTGTAAATAATTTCTGAAACATTCAAGAGTTTTGACTGATTGACTTTGGGAGGCCTTTTCTAAGGGACCCCAAGGGTCCCGAGTAAGTTATCTTTTAGCTGATGCGCAATCCACCAGGCTCTGCTCAAAAAGAATGCCAACATCATTCCTTTATATAATGATGACCATGGAATTAAGTTGTTCAGAAACCTCTTTCTTCTCATGGGAGTGTGGAGGTCTGCTAATAATAAATGAAGTTGACACCTGGAAGACCTGCATGACTGACCCTGTGAACAAGTGATGCACAGTTACTTTTGTGATGTCATTGCTTGAGCCAGTCTCCTTTCTCTTCTTTTGAGAGGGATAAATCATGGGTTTTATATTACCTTTTTTTTTTTTTTTAGGACTTGTTGCCTTTGTGGAGATTAAATAATTGTTTACATAAATTCCAGCCACTGATGTCAAGACCTCATTGGCCCAGTCCATCTGCTTATTAAGCAAATACCCTGTACTGTATACAATATACAGCACATAACTGTATACATAGTGTACCTGTATATAAGAGTTAGAAAGGGGATTTCATGGTTAATCCTTCATTTTTCCTTGGTCCTCACCAAATTTGCATTATGTGAATGAAACCAAATGAACATTAAGATCCTACCAAAAAATGTCAGGCAATAAATTTTCACAAATAAAGTACAGTACAGTACATTTATTACCATGATAATTATGGTAAATTAAGCAAACCATGTTATAACTTAAACATACCGGTATTCACCAGAATTCATATTTGATATGTGCATTATCAAAGTGTCAAAAATTATTATTTATTGTATGATCATGAAAGGTTATACAGAGGTCCTGTTACTTGGCAGAATTTTGGTATGACTATGTATACCCAGTACTGTATTGTATTCAGTTCAGTACAGTTTAGAAAATGGATAAATGAAATAGTTACTGGTAAGTTAATATTTTTATAATATACAGTAATTGAATCATTACTTCAAAAGTTATTACTGTACTTACTACATTATTTTTTCTCTTTCTAGGCTGGGGCACTATGGCTATATGTTGGATGTACACCCTGCGCTCTGTAAAATATCTTATTCTCAAGAAAGGGGGAAAGGATCTGGTTTTCCTAACCTTTGCACCTTTTGGTCACCACAGATCCATGACTGTGCCACTGGAGAAGGTAAAGCCTCATTGTTCTTTAATTTTATCTGAATATGTTACAGTATTAATTTACCATTTTTTTAGTTTTGTTTTACCTTTAGTCCCTGTAAAATGAACTGTTTGCTTCCAGTTTCCTGACTATCCCAATTTTTTCCATCATCCTAAAAACTAAATCCTATATATTTTGTGCAGTATACAGTACTTTATTCATATATAAAAAGATTTGAAACATACTGGGGTAAATAGTAAAGACTGTACAGTTGATATACAGTGCTGCACTTAAAATTTGTCAGGTCCCTATACATGCACTAAAAATCTTTACAGTTTAACCAAATTATGCATGTCCCTAAACTTTAACACAAAAAAGAGATGTGCAGATACCTGATTAATACTAAAATTTCATAAACAAGGCAGCCTTTTCCATTAATATAAAAGAAACTTATGGGTACATTCTGGGTAGTCTTTCCAACCATTCCAACTTAAAAATCCATTCCAGTACAGTATTTTGTTATTTCACTATCTCTCCAAGGGAGATTTCTAGAGAAGAAAAGGCTACCAGAAAAGAGGGAAGAATAACTTGACTCCTTATTCATATTGCAGAGTCTTGCTTTTATTTTTATTACTTTACTGTATCCATATAAAAACACTTTAAAAAAACAATTATCTCCCACACCTTGTCAATTCTATCTGAAAGGTAATTTTCATAGAATTCAATTGTATTATCATTAGATTCATTGATTTTGCATAGTCGGGAGTCCTTTGTTTATACTGTACAGTACAGATACAGTCAGACCAGATGGTGAGTAGGCCATTCCACCCTTACTTGAGGGCGAGTCGCTGTGCCGAACCTCCCCACCAACACACAGTGTGAAACTGGTAACGAAGCAGATTGCTTTGGGTTAAGACTAGACACACGAGTTTGGAAGGAAGATATTTATTAATATGAGCCACAATGCTATAAATGAATGATGAGAAGTGATGCTAATACAGTATCATGTTTAAAAAATGAAGCAAAACTGTATATTGTGTTGTGTTTGTCTCCATTTACCTGTATTTCTCAAAATTAAAATAAGGAAGTCGGATGTGTAACAAAGTAAGCCAGTGGTCACATAACATCAGCTTTGGTAAGTTAAGCGTCACATAGACATGATAACAACATAACCCTACCCAGTATTTACAGTACAGCTCCTCCCCGACTTTTGCGCCCGGGCTGCATAAACGCTGGTGTGGCATCCTAACCTGGGGCTTAAGAATTAACCATTTTCCTCAAGTATTACTCAAACATAATTCCATCTTCACTAATGATGCTTGAAGTATGTCTAGCAACTATCACGTGCGTCGATCTCAGCTGATTTCTTCTTCTCTTGTGATTGGTTGATGATTTTGTTAACTGAGCGACGATTGGCCAACTAGCTCCTGCACTGCCATCTACCTTTGGACGAGAGAACTGAATTTTCAGGGTAAACACAAGAGTTACAGATTGCTTATGGATCCGTAATTAAATTTTGAGAATGCAAAATTTACGGGACTGTAAGTTACGGTATCGTATCTCTGCTACTGTACGTAACTGATGAGGTGTCTGGAGAATGCGGCCCCCTGATATTATGGCATTGAATGTTGCAGAGTATTTCAAATAAATTCTTTGTTCAGTTCTGTAGATAGAGTAACTTATTCGCAACACTGTGTGATGGAGTGAAGAGGAGACCGGTGGTGAAGGGAAAGAGACTTATTTTTGCCTTATTATTTGGCTTATTTAATTTTTATGCAAATTGCTGATTATATATTGTATTTTGTCTGTAGTAGTATTTAATATTTTATATTATTAATGATAAAACATACACCATAAGGTGGCTGATCGAACAAGAATATATAATAATAAACACGGGCATCTCACACAGTGCTGGAGTGTGTGTGTGTTGATGGTGGTGAGGTGTGTTCCTGACACACACACACACAGGAATCAAGACAAGCATCCACTGAGGGTCTTGTTGTGTGACTGCCTGGTGGCAAGATAAACATCAGCTGTTGAGGAGAGCACTTGGCAACACTGGTGCATGTTACTACTCTTTTCCACTCCATCTCTCTAATCACCCACACCTTTCTACTTTCTCACTCCATATTTTAAAATGTTATGTAATGTAATGTTGAAGGAATACAACTTTGCTCATTTATACTTACCGTATCATAATCTCCCTAAAAATACTCTAGCTTTCGTCTTTATTCAAGGTATCTTCAGGCTATGAGACTCACTGATCCCCCACCCAAGAAAAGGTGACCTGTCATTCCATCACAAGGCCAATAATATGAGACCACTAGTCCCCCAGCCTACCTGTACCTGACATTGTGTCAGGTTAAGTGTTCATTTGCTGATTAAATATATATAAATCTTTCACAAAAATGCTTCCAATCAGCACAGCCTTCTTTTAATTGTGTATGTGTTGCATTTGAACTGTATAATTGCTAACCAGGAGAGCGTGGGGCCCTGGAAGTGCAAGGCCCAAGGCGGCCACCCCGACTCGCCACCCCCTTGGGATGACTCTGAGTAGCGGCCTTTGGTCTGCATGTACAGCATAGTGTTGCAATATTTACAGCAAATTGTTAGTGTAGCTTTGAAGACACATGTAGACAGGTAGACAAAGAGAGAGAGATATAAATATGGTGGAAGTATTATAGCCCGTTGTGTCAACCCACCATACCATACACACGCACGTGGCCATACGTTGGCTGTGTGTGTGTGGGTGTACGTTGGTTGTGTGTGTGGGTGGGGTGTGAGGGGCAGCTGCTCATTACCTCGAACTGCCGCTGTTTGAGGTTTGTAAATCATGTTTACCAAACAATATTGTTGTAAGTAATGCCTATTGATTTTTTTTTTTTTAATCTGGATGATTACTCAAGAACAATGTATGAACCTCTTACATTAACCCAAACAGTAGTGTCCCTCGCAATGGTTGTTAGGTCATTCAAGTAATAAGTGTGTTGGTGGGGAGGTTCGGCACAGCAACTCACCATTATGTAGCCGTGGAATGACCCGCTTACCCTCTGACCTAACTGTATCATGAATTCCTGACCCTGCCTGTACATAAATTTTTGGTCATACATTACTGTATTTGCTTAATCTTTATTAACTTTTAAAGTGTGAAAGTATTACATCTGACATAGTGTACTTATTTGGACAAGTAGAGTAACAGCTAGCGGAAAAAATATAATTTTTCCTCACAGTAGTAAAGTACATGTATGAGTGTCTGAGGGCCAACCAATATTTTGTACCTGTATTATTTATCTCATTTTATTAATTTTCAGGTCTCAGCAAAGCAAAGTCGATTTTCGGCAAAGGTGACTCTTCCACTCAAAGTTCAGGGAAGTTACTTCCATTATATCTTGGACATGAGTGGGGAGTTCACAAATGCTAAGCTCTTTGACTATTCAGCAGGTCTCCAGAGGAATTGGTCTAAAAAATAATTATTTTTTTTTATGTTCATTAATTGCCAGTAGGCTAATGTACAGTTGGCCAAGCTTCGACCTTTAACAGTGTGGGTGTGTGAGGGTAAAGTTGGCTCCACTCCTGACTTTACCACCTAGCATTGCCAATCCTCTCTCTCTCCCTCAGGTGTGAACCCCCGAACCCTGAAGTGTGAAACCTGTATTCACTAGTGAGCGGGAGGGAGAGTGGGGGATGTGTCGGGGTTGGTGTCTTTGTGGGATGTGATGGGGTACTAGGTGGTGAAGAGGGCAAGTGTATATCAGTTGGGAGAAATCACAGTGCAGAGTAACGCTTTGATATAGTCAGGGGTTTCATCAGTTGAGAATAATAGTCTAGTGCTAATCATATGAAAATGCTATACTGTAGTACTGTACAGTAGTTACAATAGGATGAGAGGGGGATGAATTCATGTCCTAAGTAAGGTGTTCCTTTGTAGAAGGGGGCATTTATTAGCAAATGGATTACCGGGTATGGATATATTTGAATCTATACGAGATGGAACTTCCCGTGCTGAATAAAATCATCTGGTGGTAGCCAGAATAAGGTATATAAAAAGACATAGTACTGAAGGGATTAATAATCATTAAAAACAATCAGGAAATGGACAGCACATATTTATTGTAATATAAACTTGATTTGAACAAAAGTAGTTCACTTGGCAGCTGTCCGGTATAGAATCAGCAAACCATATGGTTTAATTGTACTAAACAGTTAGGTTAAATGGATAACAAATATTGACAGTGTCATTATTATTATTATTTTTATCAAATGGGCAATTGATGATGCCAAATGATATAGCCGTTGCTTAAAGGTCTTAAAAGTAATAGAATTTCTATGTTGTGCATGAGAGGGAACCCTCAACTCCACCTGCCCTGCCTCCACCACCCAACTCCTACTCTGGGTTGCAGACAATTTACAGGGTAGAATAATGTTTCCTCTCATTTTCATGAGGCAGTTATGATAAAAATACAAATACAGGGCACTAGTGATACCCAGTATTTCAAGCAACGATCACAATGTTGTAAAGTAAAATCATATTTGTTTGATAATCCATTATCTGGTAACCATATCGCAAAGGCTGACTCCTGTCAACGTGAACCGAGCACAGAATATAGAGAGAGCAGGCAAGTAGTATAAGGTGCAATTAAAATACCCTTGTACTCAGAATGTATGGAAAAGGACATTTATTCTAAATAACAATACTGTGAACAAGTAGCCGAAACGAGTGACTCCCACACCAGCAACTTTTTCTATGGCTGCCGTGACTGTAAAGAAATAACTTAATTAATTTTTTGTCCTTATTTGGGTATGTAATTTTGATTTACCCTCTCACACACGAAGGGGTTCCCTTGAGCTGAATGAAATAGCCCGATGTTGTAATAAAGGGTTAAAATTAATTATATTTCACACAACATTTCACCTTATTCAACAATCTACAATGAACATATTAATTACAGACCTTAAACTTAAGTTATAAATCATTAAGTGGAAATATAAAGAAAATTTGTATTGGATATTTATTGTTTCACACATCTATAGTTCAGTAACAAACAATTTTAAATCATCTTATTTCCTTACTGAGAACAGTAGTTCAGAACCGCTTCCAACCACCCTCCTTCTCAATGACCACCTGTAGCCGGTCTGGCATAGAAGCTCCATGGTTCCTCACCAGTTGTGGCTTGGCCCGCAACAACTCCCACTGTGCTCTGTTGTGATCCATTAATACTGCTGGAGTCCTCTCCCTCTCTGGCTCCCAAGTGTTTACAATTGGACCCAGCTAGGAGACACGGGGCTGCGTATGTAACTCAACAATCCATATACATGTGGACTTCCATATACAAAAACTTCTTACTCAACAATCCATATAAACGTGGACTTCCATATACAAAAATTACCTATTTAGTCGGGAGTCAAACCCTGGATCTCTGCTACTTCGACCACATAGTTGGCATGGGTAATCCCCGATGGAGGTTCACGTTGCTTAACATTAAGACGAATAAACAGGCTTTGTGTGAAATAAAGCAAAGCCTCGGATTGCCTTTATTCTTCTCGTGGCTTGGTGGTAGTGATCCCTGTTCACACGCAGAGGTCCAGGGTTCGATTCCCAACTACTGTATTGAGGTATTGTTTGTACAGTATATGGAAGTCCTGCCAGCAATGGATCAACTTGAGCACATTGGGCTGCGAAATCCCCAGCCGTTGAGCGATGGCCCATTTACTAATGCCCTCTTTGTGGAGAGCGATGATGCGACTGCGTTGACCGTTGACCTAGAAGGTTGTCTTGATGGTTCATAACGATGGGTGTTGAAGGTCAAGAGTGACCATGTAATTCTTTGGGGCCACCATATCACCTCGGATTAGCGGTGATGGGCTGTCTCTATAATCTGTGATTGGCTCACGCTGACCAGAGTTGCTTCTGCCCCACAGCAAACCAGATACTGTCATTGAAAATCAAACAAATATGATATTACTTCATAATAGGAGGACACAACATAATTCTACTCTGTAAATTGTCTGTGGTGGTTCAACTACCAGAGTAGGAATTGGGTGCTGGAGGCAAGAAGGGTAAGGGGGTGAATGGGTAGTCGAGGATTCCTCCTGCTTCTTTGTCCAGGGTTGTCGTCGTGTCCAGTGCATAATATAGAACTTTATTATTTAACATTTTTAAACAACAGCTTTGCATCACAAACTGCACATTTGATAATAACAATAATAATACTGTATTATTATAATTACAGTATTATAATTTTTTTCTCCAATTAACCAAACTGTATGGCACAAATTATGTGGTTTGCTGATTGTATACCGGACTGTTGCCAACTGAACTATTTTTTGTGCACTACAGTTTGTATTGCTGTAAATAAGTGTTGCCTACTTCTTGATTGTTTTTATTGCTAATTAATCCCTTTACTATGCCTTCTGTTTATTCAGCTGTGGAAGTTTCATCTCATTGTCAATGGGTTAAACAAAACATGAATTTATCCCCCTTTCATCCTATTGTAAATTAAGTACTTTCGTCTGACTAGCATTAGACGGTTACACTCAATTGAGGAAACCCCGTCGGTATTGTCAAAATGTAATTCTGCAATGTAAGCTTTCCCAATTAATATACTGTACACTTTCCGTCCTTACCCCTAGTACCCTGTCATCCCCACCCTCCGTAGAAAGACACCTACCCCGACACACCCCACCCTTCTCCCTCCCGCTGAATAGCGAATAATTCGAATTCACACTTCAGAATTCGGGGTTCATACCTCAGGGAGAGAGGATTGGCAGCCCTAAGTGGTAAAGTCAGGAGTGGAGCCAAACTGCACAATACAGTATGAGTGTGGGAGTGTTTAAGTTAGAATGAATGAGTTGTGTTGCCTTATCACTGTTTATGGCTGTTGTGTGTGTATTGTTTGAGAAATTCTTAGTGAGACCTTTTTGTAATAACTGTATCATAATAAGTGATAAATGTTGCAGTTATCAGTTCATTCATTACAAACGAACGAATTATTAAGGAATGGAAAATGTTCCGCACCTGACCGCAGCTTGTCTGAAACTACGTCTCATCTATGCCAGACAGTCGGTGGGCGATGGTTGAGGAGGGAAGATGGACACAGTACTAGATATATATTACAACCCAACGTAATTCTTTCCATTTTGCCATCTGCAGTAATGTCCATTTCAGTATGTGCAAGTGTCTGTGTTTTTATTTTTATGCTCTGTCTGCAAATTATCAACAATTATAAATGTTATAGGAGTTTATATTATATAAGGTACTTCATTGGCAAAATAAAATAACATGTTACTAGACTTATACAATGATGTAGCCTTTTATAAGATATTGGTAAAACATGATGGCATATGGATGATTATATTCGTAATTCTGATAATACAGGGCGAGTCAAAAGTCTCCATACATAGGCAAAATGATCACTTTATTATACAATCACTTGTAAGTCACAAAATATGCTCTATGTGGCCACCATTACATTTCAGCAACATGGGGCGCCACCCCATTACAGTATCCGCGTATGCCACTGGCTGGATCAGCAATTTCCGGCTCACTGGATTGGCCGCCGTGGGCCCGTGGAGTGGCTTCCTAGGTCCCCAGACCTTACCCCCCCCCCCCATTGATTTTTACTTGTGGGGGCACTTGAAGGCCATGGTGTACCAGGTGAAGATACAAAACATGAGCCACATAAAGGAACGCATTCATGATGCATGTGCGTGCATAACACCAGACTTGTTAACACACTTTCGCCATGAGTGGGAGGAACGCATCAGTATTTGCATTCAGTGTAATGGTGGCCACATAGATCATATTTTGTGACTTACAAGTGATTGCATAATAAATAAGATCATTTTGCCTATGTATGGAGACTTTTGACTCACCCTGTAGAATGGCTTTGAGATACCAAACATCCTATACTGTACTGTACTTATATATCTATATACAGTATGTTCAGTGCTAATACAGTACCCTTAAAACCATTCTAAATGAGGTACATGTAGTAAAATAACCAGAATCTAGAGTGCTGCTACACGTATTGCTGCCATTTAATGATTCACTTGTTTGGAATAATTTAAATTGGTGACTGCAACTGTCATCATTTATTACTATATGGTTATTGCATTGAGGTTTTATGAATTCTTTCTCAAACATTACTACACACAACAGCCATAATTATTATAGTACTTTTATCATTGATAAAACAAACGGCTCATTCTCTCTGACTCAAAGAATCAGAAATCCATACGTTCTCTCTCTTTCTCTCTCACACACACACACCTGTGCTGTTACCACATTTCTCATATCCCACTTGGCCAACTGTACATACAATAAATATAGATACAAACTTGTTTGTTATAATTTTTATTTGAAACAATGGATAACGTTGCGGAACATAGTCTTGATATATGTGTGTGTGTGGAATATAATATACAGTACAGGAATGTATGAGTTTTTCTTTAACCACTGTTGAAAATCTAACACTTTCTCTTGTATGTGTACAGTATACCATTCTTTAGGTGTCCTTTTACAATAAACTATAAATGAATGTGTTTTATTATATCCTTTGTTAATGTGAATATCACTGTACAGGTAATCATACCAGTACTGGTTCCACGCCTGGTATTATAGGTCGCTCCACATAGCGACAGCAAAACTTCTCAAGTATACAGTGATTTTCTCCGATCCTGGGTGGTGATATGTAGGGTATCTACAGATTCACAGTGGAGGTGCAGGACCACTGTGAGCAGACGCTCCCCCACATGGTGTGGCCTTCACAGGTGGTCATGGGTGACGCCCGAGAGGCGCTCAGATCGCGTCCTGTGTTGGGAGAAGTCGAGGCATCACTAAGAATAATGCCTGAGGGACTTTCGTCACCACACACTAGTAGACTATGACTTCACTTTATAACATCAGGCAAGGTTTTAAGATGTAAAAACTGCTAGATAAGTCTTTTTAGGGCTGAATAAACCATGATGAAGGGCACTGACCTGTGTTGGGAAAAGTTGAGGCATCATTAAGGGTAATGTCCCCGAGTCCCGCGCTCCTCTCTGTTTAGGCCTACAGTTTCCAATCTTTAATTTTCACTTTGAATATTTATGGTTCTCACATCTCCATTTTCCTATCTATTGTGACCTTATGCTTTATAAATACAGTACTCCCTCTTTATCGACGGGGGTTACGTTCTGTAGACGGCCGTCGATAAAGAAACCGTCGATACCGTGATGGTTACGTAATTTTTCTAACTATTATTAGCATATGTTGAATAAATGTACCTTTAAGCATTAATGCGTTTCCTTTACACATAACCTTAAATAATAGTGTATAAATAATAATATAATAAGTGGACAAAAATACTAGCAAACTTACGATTTCATTTATTGAAGTGAACATCGGTCCTTACAGTAAACAATACAGTGTACAGTATATACAAGTGTGATGATTGAGGCTTATTAAAAGCCTGACCAGTCAGATGAGTATGATGAGTCTAAATAATCCGTCGATAATCGAAACCGTCGATAAAAAATCCGTCGATAAAGAGGGAGTACTGTACATATCTTAATCCTAAATTACACACTAAGGTAAGGTTCTGGTTTGCTAGTTCCTGGGTAAATTCATTGGGTTATAATATCAATGCGGTATGCCCGAGGCGGCCTAGGTGTCAACCCGAACAAAGCCTAGCATCGTATTTTCATGCCGTGGGTATGCAAGATATTCTCTTTGAAGCATAGTTTCTGGATCACTTCCAACATTTCACATAGTTCTGATACCTTTATCCTTTTCCAGATCATTTTTCTCATGTATTTTCATCTGATATCTGCAGAAGTTGTTCACTAAACATTCACAGACGTTAATAGTATGACCTTCAAACCACGATCTACACTTAGCCCGGATAGTACACTAGCCCGGATCAGTTGGACTCTCACAACCATCCTATAGATACCTTGAGTTTTCCTTAATGCTATGAGTACATACAATTACTATTATACAGTTGTACCCCGCTTTACGCGGTTTCACTTAACGCGATTTCTCATATACGCGGTGCCTCGCCAGAACCGAACTTTCACTTAACGCTGTTCATCTACCCATATACGCGCAGAGTGTCCGGCTCGAGACGCTATTTTTAGATTCGCCCCACCCGCCACCGCCTGCCTCGCCTCTCCCTCCTCCTCCTCCCTCCCTCCCCTCTGCCTCCATCCCCGTATGCCGACCCATCTCTTCTACTAACGTAAGTGTTACACCTATCTTTTATTTTTCCTAACCTAACCTTTATTTTTCCTTACTTAACCTTTATTTTTCCTAACCTAACCTCTTCTATATTACTTGTTTGTTCATACCATCATAAAGTTAAGATAAAATTTTTACTACAACATAGTTGTGTGTCGTCAAAAAGTGGAGTTTGGGGGTCGGGCCAGTCTTTATTGGAATTAATCCCATATGTTCTGTTGTTCACTTAACGAGGTACCCTGTGGGTTCAATTGACCGCGTAAAGTGGGGTACAACTGTATACCCATAGCTGGGTACAATTCATCAAATAATTCCGTATCATTCATTAGGTGAGATAGTCTTTATCAATGATTCCTGTTTTCTGAGATTCTACAAGCGCAGTGGATTTGAATGTTATGTAGCGTAATATGAATTAAAAGGGGATTTTAGGAATGACAATGATGTGCGCAGTACATAGCCTTCCCCTTCCAAAGATTCATATTATGCAGAATAATATGCAAAAGCACTAACGCGGTAGTGTATTGTACATACATATGAAAACATCCTAACAGTTCGTGATTACAGTACCTTAATACATAATACAAAATATAAGGAGACAAACGTTTCCCACGAGCGTCTCCGCTACCATATACATCGGACAACAGCTTACAGTTCTGCTACTTTGGTAAACAGTATATCATTAAAAGGAAACTATAAGGAGACCTAAACTTCTCATACTCGGGTCTCCGTTACCTATACATGCAACATCTTATCAATTCCGTTATTTCAGTACAATACAGTATAGGGAACATGTTCCTAACAGTTCATCAGAGTGTTACCTCAACATACTTTTGACATTACATACACAACAAAAGTTCTCTGCATGAAATTACATACTAAGGAATTTAAATTCTTGTCTATGAATGGTGAATTAGTTACATCAGACATTTCCTCAGATTACTACTCCGTTTCAATAATAATTCACCTTTTCAACACAAAACTATGCTTCTATAATTACACAATGGGATTCATAACACAAACCTGGATTTTCTATCTCACAGTTCCTAAGAGCTGGTATTCAAGGTCGGGGTGACTCCATTACCCGGAATGAGTCAACAGCCCAAAAGAAACTTCCAACAACACACACAAAAACCTGAGATTTCTCCCTTCGACAACATATGCAACAACTGGATTTCCGGACTTCAGTTCGTAAGAACTGGTATTTAAACTGTCGGGGTGACTTCATTACTGACAGTCAACAACCCACAGAAATTTTTCCAGACAACCACTACCACGGTTGATCCCATAGTTCACAAGTTTCTACACCTCAGTTCACCAGAACTGGTATTTTACAATGTCGGGGTGACTTCATTACAACTGACAAAGTCAACACCCAAAAAAAAATTCCGACAAACCACCTGGGCAACTGTCTCCCCCACCAAAAACTTTATAATTAAACAAATCAACCCTATCAAACTGGGAAGCCAAAAATATTCAATTGATGTGACATTCTGGAACTGTATGTCCTACAAATCCATTCTAACTACTGGTCTCCTCTGCCTCACAGGGAATCTGCTTGCAGGCTGACCTTCCACATTTCCTTTATCACTTTCCTCATCTGTTTCATCTGAACCTGAGTTCGAGGAAGAATCATAAGGTGGGAGGAGGGGCTCATTCAGCTGAACAAACATGTCTCTACTTCCATATCTCTTTACTTTCTCAGCCGCTCTCTTTATCACCTCACTTTCGTCCAATGGGTTAGTCAACTCATACGCGGCACCATCTCGTATAATTTCTGTTATAGTGTATGGACCCTTCCACTTGGTATTCAACTTCCTACTGGTCCCAGGGCTGGGAAATTCATTCCTCACCCATACTGTCTCTCCTAACTGCATAGTTTGGTTCGTTCTCGATCTATTTGCTCTCTCCCTTGTCTCTCGTGACATTCTGGCAGACGTCTCTTTTATCAACCTATGGGCTTCTTTCAACTCTTGACTACTCTCATTCTCTATTATAGCTAAGTCAATTCCTAATTGTCTCTGTACATGCCTCGGAAAAAAAAGCAAAATGAGGCTGTACCCCAGTTGTGGCATGAACAGACGTGTTCAGAGCCGACTGCATGGGACTTAGAAATTTTGGCCAATGAAGCGGATTATCTTCACACATGATTGCAAATGTTGTTTTAAAGGTCCTGTGTATTCTCTCTGTGACACTATTGTAATGACCACGGTCATACACGTCAGTTAACGTAAAATTAGACGATTCATATTTCTCTCAATAGCCCACAAAACATGTAGCTATGCTTTCTTATTGAAGTTCCCCATCTGAAGAGTCCGTTTTCTCAGCGCTTCAGGACGTCTGAGTCTGCCGTTTTCCCTCAATCTTGAATGAACCCGAGATTTCATTATTCCTTAGTAATGACAGAATTTGAAATTGCAATTGGTGAGGCAACCTAGATATGTCTGTTTACAGTTGGAACATTCAAGATCCATCGTGAGTGGTGCTGAAAGCTTCAACTGTCCTTATTGTTAGTAAAACTTATCAAGTAAGTGAGTGTCGAGTTTGCACAGCTAGAGTGGCATATTTTATGTCGTTCGTGGGAGTGTCCTGAATTTCCGATAGCTACTAAAGTTATATTATTTTGTCGCCCAAACCTCAGGGAATCTGATGTTTATAGTTTAGTTAGTGTCAGTTGTCTATTTAAGAAAGTCATTAATCTCCTGAACGTTTCCTGTCAAACTCAAAATTCTCCAAGACTTAACGGCTGTTTCGGCCTGGGCTGTGGTTTGCGGTCAGGCCAGTATAGTTGCGAATGCATATATAACTCCATTTCACCTCTTTCCTGACAAACTCAATCTTACAGTATATCTGAGAGTGTACAGTAAATTGGCAAGGAATTTGAGGTAAAACTGGTAGGGGTCTGTCTTGAGCCCCCTTTAGGACTGGCCTGCCCTGGGAGTTATTGCATGCTGATAGCAGATAGTACTGAAGGGGCAGTGAAGAAATTTAAGAAATGAAAGGATGGAATAAAGTCAAAGGGCCTGAAAGTGAATGTGGAAAAAACAAAAGGATTGATTAGTGGTGTGGGTGAGGGAGCTGTGGTAGAAAATGGCCATGTGCTCTCCTTAAGAAAGCTGTTGGTAGCAACTCAATACTGTAATATGCAATGAGTGTGGAAGGTGGGTACATATGAGGTACTGTGGACCGAGTTAAAATGACTTAATATGGCGAGTGTGAGACTGAGACACAAGTCACATACCTGGAGGTACGAGAAGGGACACTTCAAATGCTGCAGCTTCTGAGAGTTACCGAGAACAAATTCTGGCTTGAATGTCATGTACACTAATACTGACACGTTCCTTGATAAGAGAGAGGAGTTTGAAACACTACTGAAGGTACACCAACCAGATATTGTAGGATTTGTAGAACTGTTGCACAAGAACAAGAGAATCGACCCAGAGGAATGAGAGTTCAGTATTGCTGGATATGACTCATTTACGAACCTTTCTCAAAAAACTTGCAAGAGGGGTGTGGTTATCTATGCTGGGCAAGACCTTAGAGCCAGCCAGGCGAGGGTACAGGAGGAGGATGTTTTTGAAGAGTCCAAGTGGTGTAAAATTAATGTAAAGAGAGGGGACTTATTTATTGTCGGGTGCATCTACAGATCCCCAAACTGTGGCCCACTAAATCAAAGGAACTTAAGAGCCTTAATAGACGACATGGCGATGCTCAACCCTAGCCACCTCCTTATCGTGGGGAACTTTATCTATGGCAGCATCGGCTGGAGAAACGAGTTCACCCCAAATGACTTGAATAACCATGCTACTCTTTTGTAGAAATTCTGAGAGATTATTTTCTGGTCCAACATGTTAGAGACCCGACATATTACAGAGGGGAGCAAACACCTAATCCACTAGACCTCATCATAACAAACGAGGAGGGTATGGTGGCCAAAATGGAACACCTTGCCCCAGTTGGCACCAGTCACCATATAGTGTTGTCATTCAGATTTAACTGTTACCTAGTTCAATATAAGGCCAGGCCAAGGTGCAAATATTACAAGGGAAATTACAACGGGATGAGGGAAGAGATGAGGGGTATCCACTGGCCTGACTCATTAAGGCACAAGAGCGCAGAAACTATGCTGAATATCATAACTAGTAAAGTGACACATTTGATCGATAAATATATACCCGAGACCAAACCCAGTGACTCTAGGAATACAAGGGGATCCCTACACATGAACCATGTGGCGGTCAACAAAGTTAAGAAGAAAACCAAGAAATTCAAGACGTTGGTTGGGTCAAACGATGAGCAGGACAGGAGGGTGTATGCAAGAGCCAGAAACCAAGCAAAGATAGAGTGTAGAAGGGCTGAAAAGGAGTTCCACAGGCTGGTTGCAAGCGAGGTCAAGTCAAACCCAAAGGCGTTTTACCGCTATGCAAAGTCGAAACTAAAAACGCGAATAGGAGTATCAGACCCGAGGCTTGAAGATGGTAGTTATGCAGATTCTGACCAGGATAAAGCTGAGGCATTGAACAGCTTCTTTTCCTCGGTGTTCACAAGAGAGGATACGATTAACCTTCTGTTTCGCACTGTTGGCAAGTACTGGGCATGCACCGGCTCCTTAATGTACCTGAACCTGCTCCAGTCACTTCCAGTGTTGGTCAAGTCTTGCCTTGAAAGAGCTCACACTCGGTGCCGTCACAACATGAAGACATTTATTGAAACTTCTTACGGATATACCCTTTTTTCACTGTGCCCTTGTACTGTATTAGAAGAATGCTCGTATACATTTAGTCCTATTCTCTTTTATCCTCTTCACCATTGATCGACTCGTTAGCCGCTTGGGCGATCGGTCACGTGTCTCTGATTACTTTTCCTTTTCAATTATTCTCTTCACCAAAGGATCGGCTCTCTAGCTGCCCGGGCGATCGGTCACGTCCCTGTCACGCACTGTACCAAGATTACCCAAAACTTCAAGAGAAATGCTTGAAATGTACAGAAAAAGAAAACAAAATATTGATATTTTGGTTATATAATTAGGTATGAGGGATAATAACAGAAATATTAATGGAGTGAGAACTGTGAACTCTTGGAACAACCTGCCAGAGAATGTTGTGTCGGCACCGATTGTGACTATTGTGAGCTCTTTCAAGACCCGACTAGACCAACACTGGAGCAGGTTCAGATACATTCGGGAGCCAGTGCATGCCCAGTACTTGCCAACAGGGCGTAACAGAGATATGACCGACCACCCAAGCGGCTAATGAGCCGATCAGTGGCGAAGAGGATAAAATGAAGCGGCAAACTTGAGGGTAGGAGGGCCAGGGGGAAGGCAGGGATTGGAGTGGATTGGGATGGATGAATGGAATTTAAAACATTTGGTCCCCCTCCCCAGAGAGATACAAAACACTGGAAGATTCGTAAAAACGGCCCTAGAACATTTAGAGTGGAGGACTGTGGTCGACATCCCTCAGAAAATTATGGGGACTATACTCTGTTTGATTGATGAATGATGGACCTTCTCCGCTGGTGACGTAACTGTAATGACGTCAGCCACCAGGGTACACTGCGCGCGCGGCTTTTTATAATCTTTTTCATTCTAATCTCTGCTGATCGCTGTAGATACGGCTTCTTGTTGGTACTCCAATACACGGCTCTCCCTATTTAGCGTCACCGCCACAACACACTAATTGCTTAAAAGTCCCAGTGGAACTAATTTAAAGGTCATTATTTGAATGAATTTGTATTTAAGGAAATAAGTGTGACATTTGAAAACTGTAAAAGCTACTTGTTAAATCATACGTGTGGGGAAGGTTGGAGTGAGGAGGTAGAAGCGAAAGTGTTCAGTCAGTGTGAGGTTACAGCTGAGTAAGCAACAGCCCCGCCACCACCAGGATCCTACACCAGCTGCCTTAGTCTGCCTATTCATATTATGACGGTAACGAATCCCGAGATGGCAAAAAGAAAAATATTCTATAGTATCTTCAGCGGTCGAAAAGCATATATTAACATGTGAAACTTAAGGATACCACCATTCAGAAACTTAATACTGTACTGTACAGTACAGTACTAGTGGTTGACGATTTAATATTAAAGATTGACTTTTTACTTTTATCCTTTTTACCATTGATCGACTCGTTAGCCGCTTGATTGATAAATATTGATACTAGTGGTTAATAAATATTGATATTAGTGGTTGATAAATGTTGATATTAGTGGTTGTTAAATATTGATACTAGTGGTTAATAAATGCTGATACTAGTGGTTGATAAATATTGATATTAGTGGTTGTTAAATATTGATACTAGTGGTTAATAAATGTTGATATTAGTGGTTGTTAAATATTGATACTAGTGGTTAATAAATGCTGATACTAGGCCTAGTGATTGATAAATGCTGATACTAGTGGTTGATAAAAGTTAATAATAGCGGATGATAAATATTGATATTAGTGGTTGATAAATGTTGATACTAGTGGTTAATAAATGCTGATACTAGTGGTTAATAAATATTGATAATGGTAGTTGATAAATATTGATACTAGTGGTTGATAAATATTGATACTAGTGGTTGATAAATGTTGATACTAATGGTTAATAAATGCTGATACTAGTGATTGATAAATGATGATACCAGTGGTTGATAAATATTGATAATGGTAGTTGATAAATATTGATACTAGTGGTTGACAAATATTGATACTAGTGGTTGATAAATGTTGATACTAGTGGTTAATAAATGCTGATACTAGTGATTGATAAATGATGATACCAGTGGTTGATAAATGTTAATGCTAGTGGTTGATAAAAGTTAATAATAGCGGATGATAAATATTGATACCAGTGGATGATAAATGTTGATACCAATGGATGATAAATGTTAATACTAGTGGATGATAAATGTTAATACTAGTGGTTGACTATTGAACTAGTGATTGATAAATGTTGATACTAGTGGTTGATAATAGTTAATACTAGTCGCGAGGAAGTGTTAATACAGTACTAGTGGTCAGAGGAATATTACGTCCAGAAGACCCACAGGTGTCAACTTATGATACGGTATTAACCTACAGTACCTATGCTCTTCAATGTCTTCCCTACAATACAGACTGGCGAGTATATGGAGAGGGGGTGTGGAGACTGGAGAGAGTGGCCCCCTCTTCTCTATGGATTCAAACACCTCAATTTTGCATGCACCCATATACTGTACATGTACTGTTTGTGTGTGTTTATGCTATATTCATACTTTTACTTATTACCTTTTTCCTCTTCTCCACTGATCGGCTCGTCAGCCACTTGGGTGCTCGGTCACGTCTCTTGTTACGCGCTGTTGGCAAGTACTGGGCATGTACTGACTCCTGAATGTACAGTATATATCTATACCTGCGCCAGTGTCGGCCAAGTCTGGTCTTAAAAGAGGTCACTCTCGGTGCCGTCACAACACTCTCTGGCAAATGGTTCCAAGAGTTTATGATTCTCACTCTGAAAAAGTTTGCCTTCACAGTTTTCTGGACTTGTAGCTTCTTTAACCTTAAGCTGTGACCACCCCTTGTAGGGCGGGCGTCCGCCAGCTCCAGGTATGGACACTCGACTTAGTGCCCTCTGAGATGATTGTAAATTTCAAATGGGTCAGCCCTTTCCCGTCTATAGTAAAAGATAGGCAGTTGCAGGTGTTTTAATCACTCTGGGTAGCTGAGGTGTCGTAGTGCAGGCTCATATGTTTATATGTGTGTGGTATCCTTATGTTTCACCTGTGAGTGATAAAATAGTAATTACACGCCCGTAATTTGACTATTGATAGGGACGTCGTTGAGGACACGTGTAGCAGGGAACTATAATCAGATCTCCTTCCCTGATATACCTTTAAAACCACTAAGACGTTCTTTAATAAACATAAATATTCAAGAATCCTTTTTGTATGATTTCAGCTTACTTTTAATGCCGTACTGCAATATAAAATTTAATGACTGTGAAAGAATACAGCTAACTGGGTGAATAAGACATATTACCCATAGCATTGAAGGTACTGTGAACCCCACAAACGGCACGAAGTACAGTACTGTGCTTTGGAGGGGAATGAAAAGGGGAAAGTCAAGTTTCCAACATTTACATTAATAGGTATTATTATGAGGGTCTAATATACAGCATTTCATGATAAAGGAATCTTTAGTTTGATGAAGCACTAAAGGCAGTCTTTTAAGCCACGACTGGTCAGAAGTTTAAGGTAAAACTCAACATCTAATAAGAGTTTAGGTAGAAAAATTTGGAGGACGCATTTCAACATGATATAAAAATTTTAAATTAATTCCAGCTGATCATCAAGATAGACATGTACAGTATGGAACGCTGTAGTGAATGCACTTTCCTCACTCGTGTTGTGCCTTACCGTAATTGGTCATCCGAGACTCGGTCCCACGCCGTTAATTTAGCGTCATATTTTTCTTATATCTTGAATTTATTAACTCATCCGTAACTTATTATTCGCATTGCTCTTACGGGGCAGACAACAGATGGAAAGGATATATATATATTACCACTCTCACCATGAATATGATAGAGATTCCAGTGAGCACGTGGATGACACTTAGGATTTTCCCAAACATGGGCGACGGTAGCAACAGGGATACGTGCTTCTCCAACCTCCGTCCCGCTAATAACCTTCAGAGCCTGTAGTTTTCTGCTGTTTTTTTTTTAAAGATTATCTGCTTTCTAACTGTGTTAAGTTAACGTATGTATAAAATGTTTAAGGTAAAATCTTAATATAAATTTGATGGCATTCTTTTGTGCTGTTTTCATGTTAACCAGTTTAGGTGACGTCTACATCATCATTGACGAGGAATATTCATCGTGCGAAACAAAAAAGTCTATTTATTTTTGAGACGTAAAATGACGTAATACTATGCAGGCTACTAATGCTTCCTAGTGTGTGCTATTTGCTTACCCCTGTGATTTGGACATTTTCCCGTGCTGGCCGGTTTATACTGCACTTGTTTTACCTCCAACTAATATATTAATGATGGTCAAACTCCCAAAAAGAATTATTTAAATTGTTACCATTCTCACAGTACTGTACATCGATCACATCCTATTCAAGGAACTTCTTGATCTAATCTTTATTTTACCATTTATGAAATCTTATTTTGTGGCGGGATTGCGAACGAAAAAATGCCATTAATTCTAAAGCAGTATTTGTTACACTCAGGTACTTAACTTGTGTGTTTTGTTATATATTATGATACGAGAGAAGAACCTGTAGGGGTATCGAGATATTAAAGTTGTCTAGCACTCAGGATGGAAGGAAACTCTAATGTGGTTTTCTTGTATAATATATATAAGTTATATGATAGACAGTCTGGTGCTGGAGATGCCATGTGGTGGGGAGCAGCTCAGTAGAAGACGTTCGGGAGTATCGTGTTGAAGGAGGTAGATGTGCAGGAGCTTCGTTAGAGAAGGTGTTGCCTGTTGCTGGCCTCCTGGTTGAATGAAATGTTAACAGCGTGGAGCTTGCTGGAGGAGATGTTGCTTGTTCAGGAAGAATGGTCAGAATGAGAGTTGGTTGGTGAGGAAGCTCAGAGAAGGACATGCTCGCTGGCGGGAGCGAGGACCGCCAGGCAGGCGGAGGAGAGGCGAGGGTCGCCAGGCAGCGGCAGAGGAGGAGGTGTTGCTTGTTCAAGAAGATTGGTCAGATTGAATCTCAATGGAGAGACAGAGCTTATATACCCCGCAGCAGCCGCCATGAGTCATGGTGGGAAAACCCGAGAAGTAGCCGGTGAATAGTTTCGTTGCTAAGATACGGTAACATCTGGTTGGTTGCTAGGGAAGGCGGCACATTGGAATGCGATAGCAGGTGGTGAGCTGCTACGCAGTTGTAGGCAGTTGTAGGGGAGAAGTCCACTACAAACCCACTTGAAGATAAGGAACGCTTTAACAGCACTGATAAGAGTGCTCTTTTATACGTTATGTGTGTTCTATAACTTATTCAAGTGTGTAATCTAAACTAATATTTCCTCATACAAATAACTTATTGATATTTATCCATTTATTAATAAACTGGATCTTCCATACATGAGATGTTCTCTTTATAAAAAATAGACAATCGTTCAAGGTAATTTGTAGACCCACTGAAATTTTCAAGAACGGGAGACATGACTGGCAAATTATTTACTCAACACTGATAATTATCGAACTAGACCTAGATACCAGTCATAAAAAAACTGTGTATTATTATTATTCCAAATTAAATCTAAGAAACCATACCCAAGAAATTGAATACAACAATTGACGAATGGCCGAATGGGCGGTCGGGTAGATATGTGCTGTTGTAGCCGTTGGCTATGTAGGAGATCTCGCACTAAGGATGGAGATGAGAAAGGAAACTCACTATGGCGTTATATATATATACATATATATATATATATATATATATATATATATATATATATATATATATATATATATATATATATATATATATTATATGTACAATGCAGTGCTAGGGAGTTGCTGTGTGGTGAGGAGCTTGTTGAGAGGAGGTCTTGTCTGTTTGAGAGCGTTCAGTAGAATAATCTTCGGTCGGTCGGTGATACGGAGAGAAGAGAGCATTAGCTCTGAGGGTGCAAGAAGGGTACAGAACACGGTAAAGTTCAGAAGTGGGAAATAGAGGAGGAGGTTATCAGCAGGTGGGCTATCCACCTTGCGGAGACGGGGTTTTTTGTCTTCCGTCAACAGTGCTGCATTAAAGGACTCATGCGGTTAGGGAAGGCCTGTCTCAGCCAAGCTAAGCTAAGTTGTTCTATTTGATGTTTCCTTGGGGCATATTATGATAGGGGGGGGGGTCCCTCCAGGTCCTTGTGGCACTGGAGGGATGATCCCCATCTTTTTCGTTTTTCGTTTTTTATTGTGGGTGTTTGTGAACTATTTAGGTCTTTGTTTATTTGTG